ACATCCCCCTCCCTCCAATCCTCCAAGCAGCTGGGAGGAGCCAGGGCCCCACAAGGCACAGCTGGAACCTCTGGGCTAGAGCAGGTGCCAGGAGAATGTGAGCATCTCCTACACATGCCATGACGTGGGAAAGGCAGGGGAGACGTGGTCAAAGGACCATCACAGCGGAGCACTACGCCACCCAGTGTTAAGGACCGGTGAGCACACCAAGGTTCTGCCTTTGATCATGTCCTGGTTCCAGTGTTTTGTTGATCATATGCAATACTTGAACGCCAGTAAGCCAGGCATCTAGAAATTGTCCTAAAGAGAACCGAAAGTGAATAGATGAAGGTGTTCATGTTGGAGTTGCTGAGAAGAAATGAAATCATCTTTAAGTAAGTTATAAATCCATATTGCGGCCGAAACTGGTTTGGCTCAATGGATAGAGCGTTGGCTTGGGGACTGACGGGTCCCGGGTTCGATTCTGGTCAAGGGCATGTACCTTGGTTGCGGGCATATCCCCAGTAGGGGGTGTGCAAGAGGCAGCTGATCGATGACTCTCTCCCATCGATGTTTCTCTCTATCTCTCTCCCTTCCTCTCTGTACAAAATCAATAAAATATATTTAAAAAAAAAAACTATATTGTGAACTATTGTGCAGCTCTTTAAAAAGGCATTTTCTGCCGGAACCAGTTTGGCTCAGTGGATAGAGCGTCGGACTGTGGACTGAAAGGTCCCAGGTTCAATTCCGGTCAAGGGCACGTACCTTGGTTGCGGGCACATCCCCAGTAGGGGGTGTGCAGGAGGCAGCTGATCGATGATTCTCTCTCATTGATGTTTCTAACTCTCTACCCCTCTCTCTTCCTCTCTGTAAAAAAAATCAATAAAATATATCTTTTTTAAAAAGGCATTTTCTGTCTGATCCTAAGATGGGTCGCTGATACCGTGGAGTGGGGGAAAGCAAGGTACAAAGTTGGGTGCAGGACACCAAGTTTGTAAAACCCAGGTTAGGTAGTTCTCTCACAAACAAAAATCTGATCGTGCACACAGAAAGACAACGCCAATTTGTTTTTGGGTGAGAGGCTTATGCTCCTGTACTTTTCCAAAAACGTTATTAAACCAAAAAGCATGAGATTCATCAAGTGGCAATTTTTAAACGTCTTGATTATATTCCAGAAATCTTAAGAACATGTGCTGAAGTGATCAGTTAGTTTCGACTCGATATGCCTGTAAATTACATGTTCGGGAATAGTACAGCTTCTTTTATGATTCTTAAAAATTAAAATATATAAATATGTCAAGTGACTTTCCTCTCATGCAGGTAAATGACCAAATGCCTCCCACGTGGTCTGAGATGTGAGCAGAAGTGAATTGCACGTGACCAGGGTGCATCACGAAGGCTCGGAAAGGGACCGTCTGGGAAAATGTGCTGGCAGGGGTGGCCCACTATGTGCTTCTGCGTCACCCCGGGAGGCAGCATGGACGGAAGCCGGTCATTTTCCCCTCCTGGAATTTATTAATCATTAAGTTCAACAAGCACCTTTCAAATCGCTTATAATGCTTACGTCTAGATGTTTTAAACCCGTGGTCGGCAAACTGCGGCTCGCGAGCCACATGCGGCTCTTTGGCCCCTTGAGTGTGGCTCTTCCACAAAATACCACGGCCTGGGCAAGTCTATTTTGAAGATGCGGCATTAAAAGAAGTTTAAGTTTAAAAAACTGGGCTCTCCAAAGAAATGTCAATCGTTGTACTGTTGATGTTTGGCTCTGTTGACTGATGAGTTTGCCGACCTCTGTTTTAAACCATTAAGGAAAAGTGTGTGAACGATTCTGCTTAAGGAGAGAAGGGACCAGGATTCTTAAGAGGAAGCCGGGAGAGGGGTCGGGGAGAATCTGCAGTGGCCGTGCCTGGCACATAGTAAAAGTTCGACGATGGATGTTAGAGGAAGGAGTACAGCCGGAGCCCCTTGTTTCATGCATGAAATACTGTTTCCCCGAAAATAAGACATCCTTCGAAAATAAGACCTAGCGCATGGAAAGATAAGACATCCCCTGAAAATAAGACCTAGCGCAACTTTGGGAGAAAAAATTAATATAAGACACTGTTTTATTTTCGGGGAAACAGGGTAGGTGCGGTCAGTATGGTCACAATTCACCACCGAGTTTCGTAAGCGGCTCTGCAGTCTCTGGATCATGTTGTCACCGTCTCCAAGTCACTCAGCGCCAGCCCTTGGAAGGGCCGCTGAAACAGGAGGTTCTGGTGCCGGGGCCCGGTGCATGTTCAGGGCCCACCGCCCACCTGCAGGGACAACGGTCCCGACACCCTCTGACATCACAAGGAAAAGAGCTCACCCATGCAGGCCTCTCCTCAGCCCTGCTGGTCGCCTGGCCACTGATCTGTTTCAATGGCCAGTAAGTAACCACAGGCAACACCTGCATGGCAGGTCATTTTGGCAGCCCAAAGCGCCAATTTCCTCCAGCTTCCTCTAGTGCTTGCATGAAAAGGGGTATTGTATTTCCGCCCAATTTCTTGTCTTGAAAATCCAGAACAGGGAAATGGGGGGAAAGGTTCCACAGCCTCGTTTTCCAAGCAAGGAGGAGACGGCTGTCCACTCTAACAGCAGATGGCCCTGGGCTCCACACCACAGCATCTGCGGAGGAGGAGGCAGACCTGGGAGCCTGCGGGGGGGGGGGGGGGGCGCGCCGGCCTGGAAAGGGGGACCATCGGAGTGAGCGTCAGGCATCTGCCTGCTTCAGGGCACAAGTTCGACCCCAGATTCTCAGCTCCATCCTGAGCAGACCTAGGGGCTGGAGCAGTGGTTCTCAACCTTTCTAATGTCACGGCCCTTTAATACAGTTCCTCACGTTGTGGTGACCCCCAACCATAGTTATTTTCATTGCTACTTCGTAACTGTCGTTTTGCTACCGTTGATGCATCGTAATGTCGATACCTGTGCTTTCTGATGGTCTCAGGCGACCCTGCTAGCGGTTCTCAAGGCTCTAGAGCCCAAGACCATCGGAAAACACAGATACTGACATTACGATGCATCAACGGTAGCAAAATGACAGTTATGAAGCAGGAATGAAAATGAAATTTTATGGTTGTGGGTCACCACCTCATGAGGAATTGTATTAAAGGGCCACCGCATTAGGAAGGTCGAGAACCACTGGGCTAGGGAGAGAGGAGGGAGCACAAGTCATGGGACTGGGAGCTGGGGGACTACGTGTTCTGACCCGTCCAACTTGAAAGTCAGGCAGCATTCCTCAAACCAGGAGAGGAAGGTCCCCCTCCCGGAGATTCGGAGTCTCTTCACAGAGATCTGTAGATGTCAGCAGAGTTTCCAATCGCTTAGCCAGGTATGCAGAGCCACTTTTACAAAACAGAGAGGCCACCCTTATCTCCCCTCTTTTCTCCCACTTCCCAACCTCAGGGCCTTTAAGCTACTTCTCTGCTGGGGATGCTCATCCCCCAGGTAGTCACATGGCGTTCTTCATGATCAACCTAAGGATTTTTATTTTTTTTATTTTTTATTGATTTTTTACAGAGAGGAACAGAGAGGGATAGAGAGTTAGAAACATCGATGAGAGAGAATCATCGATCAGCTGCCTCCTGCACAACCCCTACTGGGGATGTGCCCGCAACCAAGGCACCAAGGCACATGCCCTTGACCGGAATCGAACCAGGTACCTTTCAGTCCCCAGGCTGACGCTCTATCCACTGAGCCAAACCGATTTTGGCAGGATTTTATCCAGAGGCCAGCTTGCCATCGAGGCATTCTGCCTCCTGAAAATTTTATTTAATCTCCTACTTCCGTCCCCACGCCCATCACACACATTCCTTCCCAAGAACCAATTTTTCTCTTTAGTAGTCATCACTCCGTACACTGCTACAGATTTTATTTATAGACCATCTCCTTCTGCTACCACCCCAGCCATGCAAAATCCAAGGTAGGGAACGTCTGTGTGCTTGTGTAAATAGTACATGGGGGGTGACCTAAAAATATTACTTGGATAAATTAATGAAATGGCCACACATTTTTTTACAACATAAGTAGGAGGAAGATTAAGGCAACTGTTCAAGAAAAAATTGCTAAGAAAATGGAAATAAACATCATATACCACTTAGCTCAGCAGGAACATTCACATCATCAAAACATTGAAAACACGATATAAGAATGAAACCAAAAGTTATGCTAAACTAAGAGGAGGATAACAAAAGTAATGTAGGTTTTCCTAACATCATGCTAAGTCAATAGACAATTCCTAAAATTAGTGACTCAAGAACTAAACAATATATACACTTAAACATGTGAAAAGAAAAATGAGAAAACAGCTTAAAGAGCTGTGATTGGAGTGCATATATTTGCTGGGTTTTTTTTGTTAGACATATCTATCTCTCTTTGATGTTTAAACTATACAATTATATAAATATATGTAATTTGATAAAACAAAGCAAGCATTTACAAAACGGGAAAAATATTTTCCAAAGTTCTCAGAGTACTTGATTCTTTGTAATTCATGTCACAGTGGTTGGCACGTAACAGACACCGAAAAAAATATTCGCCAGATGGATGGATGGATCTGTCTGTATAAACACTCATGAAAAATAGCTTCTGGATTTCACATTAATTCACAGAAAAGTAGAATAAGTCCTTTGCCCACAGAAAGATCAAATGCTTCATAAAGACTTTGCTTTTTATATAACTCACAGGTGAAAACCATAAAAGCATTTGAGTTATGGCCGATAAATAGTAATAAGATAAAAATATGTAAAGAAAAACTTTCTTAAAGTTTTCGTTAGAAAATGATTGCCCTTTACCGTTAGACCTATTGTAGAATTCTGAGCAGTATCACGTAGCCATATACTGCCACCTAGTGGTGACATCTGTAAATATCGCCTGGATTTGGCAACACAAAGCTATTCCTACATCCATTCTTCCATCCATCCACCCGTCCATCCATCCTTCTCAACTCTTTAACTAAAACCTGGCCAGGAGTATAAATAGGAAAGAAAAACAGGCGGTAAAGCTAAAATATTTTATTAATAATTTATTGTCAGTAAGAAAGACTGGCTAATGGTCGTTTTCAGTAAAAACCTTTACAAGACCGTTGCATCACAAATATAACAGACACTATAAAAACCGTGTCATGGATGGTTTTGGTTCTAAACAGGTATGCAGAAGGTCCCCTTACACACTTTCCAAGAATGAAAAATGTTGACAATCCTAAAATACAGCAACCCATGTAAGACATGGCATGGACCAGACCTTTCTCCTCACCCCATGTACACCGAGAAATGCACGACTACACTTGAAATGTATGAAATGAAATGTCGAAAACTTCCGTGGGGGGAAAAAAAAAGGACATTGAGCGAAACCCTGGTTATAGTCAACACGATCGATCAGGGTGCTAGGCCATGACACTACCACCACCCAAATCCGGTAAAAAAACACACACAACAAAACAAACAAAAAACATAAACAAACCCCGCCAAATGTCTTGGGGAGGGAAAAAAAAAAAAATTGAGTTAAACCTATGACAAATTAAATCTGTACATAACATTTACAAAATAAAAAAAAAGGGGGGGGGGCGGGGAGGGAAGGAATGGGGAGAAGACAGGACATTTAAAATAATCAAATCTATATAAATACATGAACCATGCGGACAGGGTGATGGCGGGACCGATTTTCCCGTCGCAACCTTGCAACACGGACAAGATGCGGACACCAAGCAAGCGCTGGGACGTGTGGCACAGCCGACACCCCGGCTCCGGTGACGGTAGGTGAGGAGACACTGGAAATGGCTAGCGTTTGGGGGTGCAGGGCAGGCAGGGGTACCCCACGGCCCGCCGCAGCTCCCCGCGGCTGCAGAGAACACTGCGGGCCCTTCGTGTCACCTCGAGGTCCGCTAAAGTCCAGGCACTTCGGGGGGAGGTGGGCGTCAGACCTGCGTGTGCTGCTGCAGCTGCTGCAGCTGCAGGGCCTCCAGCGGCGGGCCGGTCAGGGTCAGGGTCACCTCCCGGAAGGGGCCGCTGTCGTCCCCGCTCTCGTAGTCGCTCATCATGACCTCGGACTCGGCCTCGCAGCTGGCCGACACGTCGGAGCAGGAGGCCGTGCAGGCGTACACCGACAGCGGCAGGTGCTCGGCGGCAGCGGGGGGGTCCCCGCAGGTCCTGGGGTACCCCCCGGGCGGGTACGGGGCGTAGGGCTCTCCCCGACACGGGAGGCTCTCCCCGGGGCCCGCTTTCCGAGGTTCCGACAGGTCGTCGGCGGCCGCGGGGTAGAGGCTGGGCAGGTACCGGTCCAAGGGGAAGCGCGGGCGGCGGCCCCGAGAGGAGGAGCCCCCGCTGTCCCTGGGCGGGTGCAGGGGCTCGAACCGGTCGCTGAAGTCGGGCGGCAGCGGTGGCGGCAGCTCGTCGTCGGGCGCCGGGAAGTCCTCGGGCGGCGGCGGCGGGAAGTCGCTCTCGATGTCGTAGCCGCCGGGGTAGTAGTCCGTGTCCAGGGAGCCCGGGTCCGCCGAGTACAGCGGCGTCTGCTCGTCGATCACCTCGTAGGTGGGGAACTCCTGGATGTCCGGCAGCGGGACGGTGGGCATCCAGTCCGAGGTGTCCCAGTGGTAGCCTGGGGAGAGGGCAGAGCGGCAGAGGTCAACGGGTGTGTTTCCTCCTGAGTCAGGGCCGAGGAGAGAGAGCTCTGCTCGGTGCATCCGGCAGCAGAGGGGCCAGCCTCACACACGTGCAGGTGCATCGTCTGGAACCCCCCTCCGCTCCCCACTTCGCTCTGAAGACAGCCCCAACCCCAGCCCAGTTCTGAGACCCGCTCAGAACCAGGCTCACTTCCTAAAATGTGGATGGACTTCATTTTAGGCAAGTGCCTACCATTCAAGGGCACAGTCTGAACAGAAGCCGTGTGCCAGCTGGCATCTAAGACATGCACCTGCCCCCCAAGGACCCCCGTCCTTCAGCTGACGGCCCCCCATGCGAACCCTCGGCTCTCTGTGAGGAGGAGGGGTTGGCCCAGCGCAGGAACAGGGAGGAAGCGCAGTCCTTTCAACGAGGTCTCCATGCCAAGTTATCAAATGTCATGTGATCTGCACTAATCACTTGTCATTTAAAAAAATACTCTTTAATGCAACTCTTTAACATAGTAAAAGCAATCTTTGACATGCTAAAACGTTAAAAATAAATTGCCTATACAATAATAATAATAATGATAATGTAACAAGTTTAATATAGAAAGTGATACTGTTTTTCATTAGCCCTAAAAAACACAAGGAAGGTCTATGAATGCAGGTGTGTGTCAAAGCATGCTCCCAAACCAAGCAAAATGCAAACGCTAAAACGTGTAACACGTTTTCGACAGACCACATCCATTTGTTATTTGTTGAAAGTCTACTGATCATTTTAGAGACTATCAGAGTATAATAATTTTTTTTAAAAAGCCCTCCCAATATGCAGATAATTTTTTTTTTTTTCCTCCCTTAGGATTGTGGAATCCTATGGCGGAGAGGGCAAGGCGAGCGGATGGCGTTTGGAATGCAGGGACGTGGTTACTGCGCATCCACCAAGCGAACAAGGGAAGAAGCTGTCAGCACTGGGGCCGGTCTCTGCCAATGGTTAGTGCATATCAACCGACAACCAGCATGCAGAAGTCACCTCTTGACTTGCCGAGGTCAGGAGCAGCCAAAGACTCTTTTGGTGGCAGTGCAGAGAGAAAAGAAAACATTGATAATTAAAACAGAAAGACTGCTGGGAAGACAATCAAGACAAGTACATAATACAACGCAAACTGTTCGTAACGGCCAGTCAGCCATGTACCATGCCAGTGAGCCATCCGCTACCCAAACTCCAAACGGCTGAGACATGGATGGAGCACAAATACAACGGGACATGAGGATGGAGCCAGAAAGATGACCGATGATGACCTAGCGACTTTGCTGGAAAGCTCAAACGCTATTTCCCTTTCTGTTCCTTGTTTCGGCAATCTAAACCTGAAAGCACGGGATTTTGTTAAATGACAGCTTCACGCTGCTCAGAAACATTATGAAATCGCTTTGTCTGATACCAGGTAGCCTCAGGTTACTTAGGTGAAACCCAAATACACCTGAAGCTACATAATACGTACTTAATAAACACAGTACGGTCTTCAAATGTATACTAAAGTCAGAGGTATTCAAGAAGGAACTTAAGATACTTATAAGTAACTGAAAGTAAATCTCTCCAACCCACCTCCCCTTCGAGTTAAGATTTGATATTTACATTGCTCACCTTCCCTTGGAAGGACCATTAGCTACACTTCCTGCTCACGCCACCCAAATTGTGATGACACGCACTCTTTGCACACTCATTTTATACACTGAACCCAGCAGGAGTGAGAGAAGGTAAATTCCAGACCCAGGGCAGGTTCGGACCCGGCCAAGCCTCAGGCTCTCATCTTTGAGACAAGGGTGGAAATCCCTTAGTGTTATGATGAGGACTAAGGAAGATGAGGCAGGTCAAGTGCTAACTGGCATCTATCATCTTGGTTCTTGCTGTTACGAAAGTTGTAGTCACGGAGAAGTATGATTACCTTAGTGAGTTTCTATTGATAGATGCTTTCTATGCCTTCCACAACGTTCTTAAAACCCATGTAATAAAGTAATTGGAACAAATAAGGTTTGATTGATGGTTCTCTTCTTGGAATTTAAATCAAGAACAGAAGAAAACTGGTGGCTCTAAAACATGAATAAGCCACTATTTAGTTAACAGGCATCCATAGAATGTTTTTACAACTCCGGTAAAAATGCAATAATTGCTTTTTAAAAAGGAGACTGACAACCTTTGTTAATAAATAGGCACTCAGTAATTATTCTTATTCCTAGTCATAGGAATGTAAGTTTTTATATTAGAAAGCTATTTTGATAGAACTACTTCTAAACTTCTTGCCACATAAAGGCAACGCTGTCAGGATCCCCTGAGTGACTTCTGATGCTGTGGAAACTCACTATGAATGACAAAAGGAAATGGAAACACACAACATACACATGTTTCTGCCACGGGCCTGGATGGTGAATATGTACACCCGCTCTCAATGAAAGTCCTCAGCCCCCTCAGAACCACCGGCGGCTGTTTCTAACCCAGGGAGAGGCCCAGGCACACGGCCCTGGCGACAGTCGCTGTAACACAAACACAAGCACAGGCAGGACGACTGTACCTTCGGTAGTCACCGTGCCAGCCACGGAGCTGACAAGGTGTATGACAGTCACCATGGAAGCTTGTAAAAAGGGACAGAGGGCGGAAGTTAGGAAAATCTTCAGCTCGTCAGAACATAGTGCATGAGACAGGATTTCTTTACGAAGTTCCTACCTTGTAATTTAAAAATGCAAAGCGAACACTCTAAGATAATGTAATTAAGCATGACTCCTGCACTCCTCCTGCTAGTGCTACATCTCAGAGATTTTTCTAATCAAGCTGTGTATTTATTAATCATAGAAATAGAATAATAACCACGACATACTGTAATTTAGGGGGGAAAAATTAGCTGTCAATTTTTTTCCACAATTACAATTATGGATCTAATCATGATGAAACAGTCCTTATTTTAACATCTCATGGGCAAAAGACTTCACATTCAAAGAGTAAAATACTTGCTAAGACAATTTTCTGAGTCCACTGAATGAACTCACACAGTGTTCCAGGAAAAAGAAGTTTAAAGAGCTCCCTAATAAGGTAAAATATGCACTATAAATACCCAAAAGGGGAGGGGGTGGTTTGTCTCTGTTCCGAGTACTCCCAGCAGAAAAATGCAGACGGCCTGCCTGGCAGTTTCCTGTGTAAATTCCCTGCCATCTGTGTATCCAATTGTTTTAGAGTGTTTGTGCCAAGATAAGGGAGTGAGCACGCACAGGGAGAAGGATGCTCTCAGAGATGTCCACATCCTGACCCTGGGAACCATAACTGTTCCCACCCCCAGCTAGAGAGACTGCTGATTCGATGATGGTCAAGAGCTTGAGGTGGGGAGCTTATCCTGAGTTATCTGTGTGAGTCAGTGCAACCACAAGGGCCCTTCCATGGGGAGAGAGCCTTTCCCAGCTGTGCTTGGAGGGGGCAGAGACTACAGAAGAATGGCCATCGCGATGAAAGATGAAGGGAGAAAGCCAGGCAGGCAACTTGATGCCGAAACCAGTTTGGCTCAGTGCTAGAGCGTTGGCTTGCAGACTGGAAGGTCCCAGGTTCGATTCCAGTCAAGGGCATGTCCCTTGGTTGCGGGCACATCCCCAGTAGGGGGTGTGCAGGAGGCAGCTGATTGATGACTCTCTCTCATCAATGTTTTTGACTCTATCCCTCTCTCTTCCTCTCTGTGAAAAATCAATAAAATATATTTTTTTTAAAAGAGAGGAAAAGAAGAAGAAAAAAAAGAAAAGAAAGAAAACAGCCCTGCTGACACCGTTGAGCCCAGCGGTCGCCAACCTTTCGGACCTCACAGATCACTGGCTGGTGACTGCTGGTTTAGCCTACGGAAACTAATGTTAGACTTCCAAACCTCAGAACTGTAAGATACGTTTATTTTGTTTTCAGCCACTATGTTTATGGCAATCTGTTACAATAGCCTAGAAAACTAAAGCTATAATTTAAGCACAGATTCTTAATTCAGACTTACATGCACAACTGATAATGATATAAATGATGATGAAAATTAAAATATAAACTCCTAGACATACTTCTTTTTTTCTCCCTCACATTGCATTATCTGGCAATTAATTTTTATAACTAACTGGACCATAATTTATTTAAAGTATTTAAGAGTTGTGCTTTTTTTTTTTTTTTTTTTTTTTTTTTTTTTTTTTAAGAATGTCTTAAGGAAAATAACTAGAAAATAAAGAAAATTCTGAAATGTATTTATAGAAAGCACTTATAGATCAAAATGTAAATTGTTACATACACTGACAACTGTAACATTTTAGAATTAAGTGTAATGAAAAAATACTTCTAATTTGTTGTGGTTGGCTTACTCAGCAAAGCTATGCTCATATGCTGCGTCACAATAATAAACACAGGTACACTTTGATATCATATATAGAATACTTGAAGTCAGAAAAGAATAGAACATAAAATTAAGGTCATCTTTAGTTTGGAAAAGTTTAGTTTGCAATCTATTACCCCAGATTCAGAAACAAATAATTATTAGCGGGTTACTTCTTTCCACCAATAAAATACTTGAAATGTTTAAACACATGGCATTTTCGTGCCAAAAAAAAAAAAAAATTACAGTAAACTTTACTCATTCTGGGATTTGAAAGTTTCCACTAAAAACTCACTTTATTGTATTTAGTGGATCCTGACAAATTTCTCTGCTGGTATGTGTGTTATTACGGAGAAGCCAGTTATCCATGCAATTTACCCTACGGACTGGTATCCCAGAACCGGCTGTCAAACTGTCTTCGTTAGGAAGGTAAGCAAACTTACTAGCAATCTCTTAAACCGTGCCCAGTCAGTACGCTCTGATCCACAGGGGAGCTGGGGCAGCAGGGGTGGGGGAAGAAACAGATAAAACCTTGTAATACCAAAGGTCACGCTGCAGACAGCCCAGCCTCCTTTGAGTGTGAGAGGGGAGAGGTGGAGGAGGGAGGGAGAGATGTCCCAGAAGGCAGCCCTTAGGGTTTGGAAAAAGCCCACGGGGCATTGAACACTTTCTGTTGTGGGGAAAAGTCAATACAAGGTTGGCCACCAAGGTAAACATCATCTTTCAATTAATTCTACTTTCTGCCCTATTCCTGGGAAAGTGGCCACATAAGTTCAAATGCCAACCCGCTACACACCTTTTAAATGTCTCCCCCAGCAGATGCTCATGCACGTGTGCAGTGGGCGTGAACAGTGGTCCCGAGTGAAACACAGACACACCCTGAGACCTAACAAGGGGCCTGGGTGCATCCAGGACAGACATGGCACCCCGTGATCAGCGCCAGGAATGAGCCGGGAGCCCGGAGCTCCCAGCCCCGCTGACTCACCGTTGTCATCACAGGACTCGGACTGGAAGGAGCTGAGGGACTGCACTTCGGACAGGCTCTCCCGGGCGCTGTACGGGAGGGACGGCTTCTCCTCCAGGGGCTGCTTGGACAGGCAGGGGTCCAGGTCCACCACTTTAGCTGAAGGGAAGGAACGACAGAGGGGAAGCTCCATGAGGGCCTGGCCTGTGTTTTGGTCTCAGCGGTAGCCAGATACAGAGCAAGTATGGCCAAGACCACCTGATGCGTAGTCAGTCAAAGAACACCGGAAAGAAACATTTGAAAAACAAACAAAAAAACACAGAAAACCCCACAAAAAACCTATAGCACTTCCTGCAGATGCACAGAATAGAAATGAACCTGCCCATGGGTATCATTAGACAACAGGGAACTAAAACTTTGTTTTACAATGGTTCCTAGAACTTTTTACATATTTTAAATCCTCACCTGGAGATACATTTTTATTGATTTGAGAGAGAGAGGAAGGAGAGAGAGATAGAGAGAGAGAAACATGACCAGGGAATGAACCCACAATTTGGGGATGCATCCTGGCTGGGAATCTTGGTGTACAGCAAGCATGTCAAACTCCCAGCCCACAATGAGTATTTTTGCGGCCCAGCCAATATAACGGCTTGGAAGAAACATTTAAAAAAAAATTTCATAACTTAATTTTCATAATATCCTTGTATATATAATTATTAATAACAAACTATAACCTTCATGAATGACTGATTACACTATATCCGTGTTGCATTCATTTCCCTTTCGCACCTTACAACACACAATTACACCATTTCTCTCCACTAATACCAGCAGTGAATATTTTAGCAGCCGATGGCCAGGGCATTAGTCTTGGACTGACTTGTTTGGTGTGTGCAACAGGAAATAGTTGGCATTCGGAGAACAAGAAAAATAAGTTCATTTGTGTTATGCTTATTAATTTGTGCAGTTATTCAGTGTCTGGCAAGTTAACGTTCAAGAGAAACATTAATTGTTATTAAAATGTTCTATTATTTTTACATTAACAATGACTCCTTTATTTCCGCCTTCTATATTCAGCATATTTCTATTGAAATAAACCTACATTTCTATGAAAATAGAAGCTTTTTTTTTTTTTTTTTTTTTTTTTTTAATGGCCCACATAAAACTCAAAGCTTGTGTATTTGGTGCGAGTTAGCCTTTGAGTTTGACATGCTTGGTGTACAGGATGACACGCCAACCAACCGAGCCACACGGGCCAGGGCCATCAATGACATGTCAGGCCATGAATATCAATACAAGGATGAGCAAAAGCAGGTTTACACGTGTGAATGACCTTCTTTTGAGTTAATAAAGCTAATGTAATAATCATAACCTGCAAGTCTTTAGCCTTACCAACTGTATCCCTACTTTGGCCCCCTCTGTATTGTCACTTTCTCTGATCCTGCTCCCAATTTTTTAATCATATAAGCCTCTCCCCCCGCCCCCCCCAAATTATAGCTGAGGACCCTTATCGATTATAGAAATGCAATGATCTTCCCAGTCTCACTGGAACATGACCCGATTCCATTCCTGAATTAAAATACAATCACAGCCACAATGCTAGGCCAGGGCCCAGGGCACCGGAAAGGATTTTCAAATCTTTCCAGGGTCTACGGAGCCTGTCTGCACTGCCAAGGACTCCACACGTGGCCTCGAAGCCCCGTGGCTCGAGGGGAGACTTGCCATCTCCCTGTTCATCTCAGCGACACCCCGGCCAGGGGGACGCGGTTCCTACCGTCGTAGTCGAAGTCCCAGCTGGGCTTCTGGATGGAGTCGCTGTCGGAGGGGGAGTTGGACGGGGGCGGGGGCGGCAGGTTCGGGGCGACGCTGCAGACGGCCACCGCTTTCCGGTGCCCGTGCACCGCCTCGGGGTTGAAGGTGCTGAACTCGGGGTGCTCCGGGATGGCGGAGCCTTCGAAGGAGTTGCGGTCCAGGTTGTTCCTGGAGTCGCTGGGGATGCTGGGCGTGTAGGAGATGGGGCGGACGGGCACCTGGGGCGGGGTGTCCGAGTAGATGTTCTTATTGAGTTTCGAATCGAAGTAGGGCCGGGGCATGAAGGCCGCGGCCGGGCCCAGGCGCTTGTCCTCGGGCGGCGGCGGGTGCTTCTTCTTCCTCCTCCGGCGCCGGACCGCCTTGCGGCAGAGCACGAACACCAGCACCAGGAGGAAGATGCCGACGACGAAGGCGAGGATGCCGATGCCCTCGGCCAGCCCGATGTTCCAGGGCGTGGACACGTACAGGTTGGGGGCCGCGTCCTCGCAGTGCCGCCCGTGGAACGCGCGGCTGCAGTTGCAGCGGTAGGAGCCGTGCGTGTTCTCGCAGAGCGCCCCGTTCCGGCACGGGCTCCCCGCACACTCGTCGATGTCGCTCTGACACCTGCCGAGAGAGAGAGAGAGAGAGAGAGAGAGAGAGAGAGAGAGAGAGAGAGAGAGAGAGAGAGAGGGCGCCGTAGTGAGGAGAGACCTTCCGACGAGGGCAGGCCTAGAGCTCTTAGATGTAGAGGGCCCCCTGAGAAGGCACATGGACATCTTTTAACTTTTTTTTTTTTGCAAAAACTAAATGACATACATGTTATTTTCAAAACTTGAATGTCAAGAGCAAAACTCTGGCTATTAAATAATAACAACAATGCCAATGCAAAACAACAAAATGAGAAATCAGAATTATACATCTTTTAAATTGTCAGCTGAGACCGAGGGCTGAGGGTGTATTCAGTTTCTGACTTACCTTTGTCCAGGTGTCGGCAGGGGCGGGTCTAGATATGTAAATCCAGTAATGCTAGGGCCTAGTTAAGAATGCAAATAAGCTCCTTTGACCCTTTAATAAACCTGCTGCGTGGCTTGTCGGGGTGGGGGTGGGGGGTCGCTTGCTGCCTCTCCATCAGAGAGATGGCGCCCACCTACCGCCCAGCTTGACGAATCTGTTTCTGCCTTCTGGTCTCTTTCTTTCTTAATCCCCAGCTCCTCCACTCAGGAACCTGTCATTTTCCGTGATGGACACGGAACACAGAGAAATAGCCCCACGCACTTAGAGACCAAGGACAAATCTGACCCCTTCTTAGGAACATAAATAAAATCAAACAGGTCACAACCCAAAACACGCTACCCTGAAAGGATAGCTACCACCAGACACCTTCTGGGGAGTAATGAACCGTTTGTGTCAGACGTGGTGCATCTGGGGCAAAACCACAAGGTCAAGCCCACATTGAACTGCCATGCTGCGAGGATTCCACAGGTGACTGAATCCAACGCATCGGCTGGTTGTTTCTGTTCTGATCCAGACGTTTATAATGTGCATTCTGATACATGGGGAGCAGTAAGCCGTTCCTTACTGGCTTAGATTAAATGTCTAAGAAAAATCCTCCCAGAGGGGACTCTGAGAGTTCCATAAAACACGGGAAAAGCTAGAAAACTCGGTTTTCCACTTGTAGGTGTTTCTCCTTGTTGAACGCCCCACAGCTCCTCCCACTTACAGCACGGTTCACGTTTGCATCTGCGCAGATTGCCCTGATGCTCTGCAAACCTTTCCTCCGTTAGTAAAATCTTCTGCTGCCTACCCCCATCCTGACCTGGCATAGCGTTTTGACTACTGAGACGTATTTGTCCATGATATTAAGTATTGATGGGTTAGCATTAGGGAAGTTATCCTACGAACTAAGAGGACATGACCGGCGGCAACATTCAAGGCTAGACCAAACCCACGTGGGAATATCTAGACGCAGGTCACACTGAAGGTCTGATGGTCAAGGCTCATCTGAACGGGCACTTACGAAGGCCATTTACTGAGTCATTTTTTAAAAAACTGAACTGATAGAAAGTCTAAGGTGAAATGGCATCTGGAACAAAATCTACCTCCTTCCAGGTCTACGACAGACACCTCAGTGCCTCATTTCTCTTCCCTGGAAAACAGTATCACCTCTTAGGATTATGGTAAGGGTTACAAAAGATAATGAGAGCTGGAAAAGGTTTCCAGATGCTATACAAGTGTCAGTTATAGCATATTATGAAAAAATGTCATTATTGCCATCCTCAAAGACAGCAGACCATAGGTGTCTGCTTAAAAAAACACACCAATAATCTCACTCGTTCCACACCTACTTCCTGCAAAAAACCCACGCATAATTTGTTTATACATATCTTGAAAGTATAGAAGTAGGTTTTTTCCAAGAATTATAATATTATATTCATTTGCTCGTGGTTTTTTTTTTTTTGGTGTTTTTTAATTAAGAGCAACAAGATGATTTACATCAGGAGCTAATATGAGAACGCTCAAATGCTGAAGCAGCAGTGTCCAAATTACTAGGGTCTGTTAGCACCTGCTAACCCACGTGACCTTACAGAGACCTGGAAATGAAGTCATGAACAAGGGTCGTTACCTTTCTCCCCTGAAGCCAGAGTCACACTGACAGACGGCGCCGTCCAAGCTGTCGAAGCAGGTGCCACCGTTTTTGCAGGGCTCATCCTTGCAGTACGGACTGAGCTGGCACCTGAGGAACAAGGAGAGGCGTGAACTGAAGCCTCCTACCACCAATGAGTACCGCGAGGCAGAACACATGGACAAAGGAATGCAGATGTGTTACATACTCGATCACCTTTAAAACGTTTTTAGATATATAAAGTCTATCTATATAAAAGCCTAAGTGACTGTTACGACAGAACAACCAGAACGACCAGAATTACTGGTCACTGTGATGTGCACTGAGCAGGCAGGCAAGCGGTTAGGGGCAAACAAGCAGGCAGGCAGGCAGGCAGGTAGGTGAGCGGTTAGGAGAGGGAGCAAGCAGTCCCAGATTGCAGGAGGGATGTCTGACTGACAGTTTAGGGTCCTGGAATATGGGAGAGTGCAGGCTGGACCTGAAGGACACCCCTCCCACCCCAATGCCCTGTGCATGAATTTCGTGCACCAGGCCTCTAGTTAATTATAGAAGCTAAGAAAGAAGAATGCACTTACCTCTGTCCAGTGTATAACCCTCTGCACTGGCAGACGAAGTCTCCGTTGTCCACCAGGCAGGTCCCACCGTACAGGCAGGGGTTGGAGGCACAGGGATTGACGCTCACCTCACAGTGGGTCCCGACGTACAAGGCGTTGCATTTGCAGTAATAGCCTACATCAGCACGAGGGAACGAAAACGTCCTATCACTCAGAAATTCAACCTACACGTCTTAGGGCATTGTTATTGTTTTTTTACTTTTATGTTTAGGTGAAGGCTTAGTTCTCTAAGACCTGTAAAAGCTGGGACCATCCCCATTCCCTCTAGGTAAACCCTGTGCAGACCCACAAGCCACTGCTTGTTTCGGTAAAACCAAAACACAAAGAACGAAGGCGAGAACTCATCATTAGCTTTAGTTCACCAAGATGTAAGGTAGGACTGGGCCGAGCACACAGGACGGGGGAAAGGTAATCCTGTATCTGAGTGGCCATTGGGTGGACAACACTTAGTATAATACTTAACATTGCAATTTATTTGCACTCATTCGCGTGTATGGATTAAATGAGATAGCAATAAGTGAAAAAAAGTACTCTGAAAACTATAAGCTACCACTTTCAGAAAGGCAGACCTCGCATTTGTATAAAGGAGAAAGATGAACGGCAGACTCATCTGTGAAGACTGCGGCGGTGGGAACTGTGGAGGCCGCTTCCAACCCTGGTCTTTGGAGAAGACCCAGGACCGCACTTCCCAGGGCACCTCTGGCGCTGGCCATAGCTGTGGGATTGTCTTTGGCCGCAGAAATGTGCCATTCGGGCTCGGAGCTGGAGAGCCACTGTGCGGTCTCCCAGCTCCCTTCCCCCTGCTGCTGTGGTGATTTCAAGAAAATGCCTCTCTCTGTCCCGCCCCCGAGGACAGTGGGGACAGCCTCCTCCGACACGTGACGGGAGCCACGGGCACTCTGTTCCACGTGTTGCCGTGGGGATAACCTGGCCTGCTCTTGGCGTCCAGACCACAGACCCGTTCCAAAGAAAACAGCAGAAAACCACTCGATGACAGGGTTATTCTGATTTCTGCTCCATCCCTTACACAAAGCTCTGTGTATTGAGCACAGGGACTGTCGTTTTCATAAACGTGCTATTACTGGTAAGCGGGCAAACGGGTCTAGGATGCAGAAGCCTGGCCTCCATTGGGCCAGGGCTTCAGGACAGGGATGGCACACCTAAGGCCTCTGGGAAAGCAGCTCTCCCACCTACAGCTGGCAGGACCGCAGCCCCTGAGCTGGGCCATCGGGCGAAGGGGGCACACAAGGAGAACTTAGCGGTACCCCTTCTAAATGCCGCCGGGTCAATGTCTGGGTTTGGAAGAGAGTTCCGAATAAGCTGTGGTCCCAGTTGTGGGATGAGACGTGACTGCGGGAGCCCAGCAGGCAGACACCGCTCCTGTCAGCCCGGCTGCTCTGCTCTCCTGTTTATAGCACATACGCCTCAATTCCTACCCTGATGCAGGACCTGACCATAGGACTGGAATAAAGAGGAAACACAGCCCTAGCTGGTTTGGCTCAGCTGATAAGGGTCCCAGGTTCGATTCTGGTCAAGTCACATGCCCACGTTGCAGGCTCAATTCCCAGTAGGGGGCATGCTGGAGGCAGCCAATCACTGACTCTCTCACTGCTGAAGTTTCTCTCTCTCTACCTCTCCCTTCCTCTCTGAAATAAATGTTTTAAAAATAAATCGAGGAAAAAAACGAAACCACATGGAACATTTCAAAGCTGACGGCATCGCGAAGCCTACCTCCCGCAGGCGAGGGGTTGCAAACGCCTCCGTTCTGGCAGGGGTTGCTGGAACAACCTTTCGTGGCCGTCAGCACGCACCCCGGAGTCACGTCCACCCAGTCCTCGATGTGGGCGTAGCTTCTGGGCTTGTGATTTAGCGGGAGCTCCTGCCCATTCAAGTAGATGGAGTCCATGCAGCCCCGGAAGCCGTTCCCGACCTGGGGGCTGCGCCGGTGCCGCGGGCCCTGCTGCCGGACGTGGCCGCCGAAGAACACGTGGTTGTCCAGGTTCAGGGTCTTCAGCGTCCCCGGGGCCGTGCCGGCCGCGGTGTGGACCTGGTCCAGCACCAGCCGGGCGTAGTTGCCGTTCACCTCCAGGGACACCGCGTGCCACAGCCCGTCGTTGACCTGGATGCTCTGCACGGACACGATGCCGGGGCCGCTCCCGCAGTCAAACTTGTACTGCAGCCTTCCGTTGTGAATCTGCGGCGGGAACGGGGCACGGCTCGCGTTACTCTCCCAGAATCCCCGAGGACAGCCTCCGATCAAACATCTGGAGGAGGGGCATGTGGGCAACTGAACACAGAAACTTCTGTTTGCCCACATACCCCTCCTCCAGATGTTTGGGTCTAAGTATTACAGACCCATACTCCAGATGTCTGGGTCTAAATATTATAGACCCCGTACTCCAGATGTTTGGGTTTAAGTATTAGGAAGGCCTGGGGTTTAAGTATTACAGACCCCACGCTCCTGTGTTCCTTGTACACATCACAGCAGACCTCTGGGGGTACAGCGTTCAATTGTGAACTGCACATCCAAAAAGCATCAGGGAAGGGACTCATAATCAACTAGCAACCGAACAACAGCCCAAAATAGCACTGCATTGTAGCAAAAGTCAAAAGCTAATCACACTTCAGGAAACAGTAAGGGTGGGCAAGATAATGATCGCTTCAGGCTTATGCAGGCTCCCTCTTCACAATAAGATGCAACAGCACTTAGAGTTGAAATGTTCACAGTCACATGAACCTAAAAATGTGTGCGAGCCGCAGAAGTCAGTCTCTAAGCTACTGCACAGCAAAAAGAGCTTTTACAGTCTACGAGGTACCAATGAACTAGTTGTAGGAGGAATTCAATCATTTCACTTTTTTTTTTTTTAATTGACAATCTGAACATAAAGTGGAACACACATTTTCAAAGCCTTCCCTAGTCTGAGGTACAGACACGAACCTCCAGGATGCTGTAGTCGGTGCCGCGGGCATACATCACGATGGCATGGGAAGAGAAGGTCCGGAGCCGCATGGTCAGCTTCATCTCCAGCTTGCTCTCGGTTTCCTTCAGCCGGTACTTCACAAAGCTGCTGCCGGTGAACGTCACAGAGGAGCTGCCTGCGATCGCAGCGGACACAATGCATCAGAGCCGGACACAATGCATCAGAGCCGCGCTGAAGCGCATTTTAAACGTGCGATTTCTTCCGCCCAGACACTGACCCGATTTTTCACTTAAGATTAGAACACGATTAAGCTGAATTCAATGGGAAATGTCTAGCTGCTTAATAAACGGCTTAGCGTAACTGGGTCTCCTTCTGGAAGAGATGAGACTATGGTGTCAGAAAGAAACGAATCCTGAAATACTCAAAAAAGTAACTATAAAAATATTCTACGTAAAATTACTACAAGGTACATTGGAAAAATATTTACATATCCTCCAGGTGGCTTGGGAAGCCTTCTGAAAGAAGATCTAAAATAATCCTGATTCTCCAAAATGATGAAAATATTACTCACGGACAGAGACGGAAATCGTTATGTAAAATGATGTACAACTGACAAAACAGAAATTAAATTTCAGAGTAAAAAAAATACTGTTAAACAAATAAAAAGGTCAATATTATACACAGAGCAGATAATGTTAACACTGCAACACACACAGCTCCATACAAGAGCCAGACAAAATAACCCAGAAAACCAGGCAGAGTGCGAGCAGGCCAGTCACAGGAGGAAAAATGCTCAATGCAACCAACAAATGAAAAGACAACTTTCCCAAGTGGCCAGGGAAATGCAAAGTACTATAACTAGGTCATCACCTCCTGCCCATTGGAAGGGGGTATTTACTTTTCAATTGAAAAGCTTTAATATTAGCAAGAGAAGGAATGGGACCTTCACACAGGACCGGAAGACCTAGAAAGTGGTATAACTTTGTGAGAAACGAACATAATGGCACATTTAAAAAAGTTAAGTGTAGTTATTAGTCTTTGACATAGTCCTAGTTTTAGTATCGAAAGCACCAATATGTAAGGATGCAAACTAAGGATTCCCTTTTTTAGCAGAAGAAAACATTTTGACAACCTAAATCTCTGTTGAACGAACGATAGGACACACTGTATAGCTATTCATCAGGTTTACACACAGCAGCTTGCAAAGATGCCCATGACTTACTGTTAAGCAGGAAAAACCAAGCGGTACAGGACTATGTGAGATACTTTTTAATTTCTTTTTTAAAAGAGAGGATGTGAGAGAGAAAGGACAGTGAGTCTGTCCACATGGGACTATATGGTCACACGAGCACTGATGATAAAGGAAACACGTCCCACTATTAACTCAGGTGAGTTGCCACGCAACAAGAAGGTAACATCTCCGTCTGACACGTTATAATAAACATAACTTACGAAACTTCTCACTCCATTAAAGAAGAAAATGATTAGAAACACGGGAAGTGCCTTTTTAAGATAAAAGCATGCCTCGTCACTGGGCACTCACCTGGGCACTGCCCAAACTTGCCACCCGGACAGACACAGGTGTACGTCTCCTCCCTGGGGTCAGTGACACACTCCGATCCCTCGGGGCACGGGCTGTCTTCACACCCATGATGGATGAGCGGGCATCTTCCCTCTTTAAAAAAAAAAAAAAAAAGGGGGAGGAGGGAGAGCTCATTAATAGGAATTTCAAGAAAATGTTCTTTAACGTGCAGCCTTCAAAGAGTGTATGTGAGATCATACGTAACCCCTGGTTTCTTCTTTTTGTTTTCTTGTTAATGTCACCCAAGGACATTTTTTCCATTGATTTTTAGAGTGGAAGGGAGGGAAGGAAGCATGGGGGAGGGGGAAGAAAAGAGAGAGTGGAGAGAGAAACACTGATGTGAGGGAGACACATCAGCTGCTTGCCTCTTACATGCACCCTGAATGGGACTAGGATTGAACCCTAACCCAGGTACATGTCCTTGCCCAGGAATTGAATCCGAGACCTTTCGGTGCGTGGTCTGACGCTCTAACTACTGAGCCATGCTGGCCAGAGCAGTGGTCGGCAAACTCGTTAGTCAACAGAGCCAAATGTTAACGGTACGACGATTGAAATTTCTTTGGAGAGCCAACGTATTGAAACTTAAACTATAGAGGTAGGTGCATTGTTATTAACTGAATTAGGGCACTCCTAAGCTGGCCTTGGCTAAACCTCAAAAGTCCAAAGAGCTTCATGTGGCTGGAGAGCTGCCGTTTGCCGACCGCTGGGCCAGAGCACGTAGCCCCTGTCTGCACGCGCGCTCACACACACACACACGCACACACACGCATGCACCGACAGTACCTTTGCAGAGACACACGGCCGTCCTGCGGTGGCGGGGCGTCACGAAGCTCAGCCTGGCCGTGCTGTGCGTGGACATCGCGCTGCCGTCCACGGACACCTTCTCGTCGCAGAACCTCCGGGGGCAGTCCAGGCCGGCGCACAGCCTCTGGAACACGTCGAGGATGCGGACGCCCACCAGGTCCTCGATGTCGGCCACGGAGGCGTTGATCCTGCGCAGGAGCTGGCCGGTGGACGCGGGGGGGGCGCCGCCGGGCCTCTCAATGAACAGCAGCACGTCCAGGTGGGGCTGGGGCTGGGGCTCGGCGGGCTGCAGGCTCACCACCTGCAGGCCGCCCCTCCGCACGCCCAGCACGCTCCGCAGCGCCCGCTGCGCGCTGCGCCAGTAGTCGCCCACGAAATCCTCGGGCGTGAGGTTGGCGAAGCGGATGGCGATGGTGTGGTTCAGCATCTCCAGCGTGACGGGGCGCACGTGCACCGGGATGTCGGCCGCCGTGGTGAACCGCCCGTCGGTCACGCTGACGTTGAGCAGGTACTGCCCCGGGTCCAGCCTCTTGTGCGCGATCAGCTTGCCCCCCGCGCCGGACACGGAGAAGAGGCCGTCCGCCCGGGGGTCCAGGCTGTAGGTGAGGGTGTCGTACACATCCTGGTCCGTGGCGTGGATCTTCCCGATGACGCCGCCCGCGTACTCCTCGCCCACGGCGGTGATGAAAATCTCCAGGGGCAGGATCGCCGGCGGGTAGACGCTCTCCTCGATGACCGCGATGTCCACGTAGGTCAGAGACGACAGCGGAGGCTTCCCGTTGTCGGCCACCTGGGAGCGGAGGGAAGGAGAGATGGCCGAGGTCCAGACCACTGTTCACAACTTCCCAGCGAAAGTGTATTTACACATCGCCCCGGCCGGTTTGGCTCGGTGGGCAGAGCGTCGGCCTGCGGACTGAAAGGTCCCAGGTTCGACTCTGGTCAAGGGCACATAACTTGGTTGCGGGCACATCTCTGGTAGGGGGTGTGCAGGAGGCAGCTGATCGATGTTTCTCTCTCTTCGATGTTTCTAACTTTCTATCCCTTTCCCTTCCTCTTGGTAAAAACAAAAAAATCGATAAAATATATTTTAAAAAAAAGAAGAAAAAAAAATCACCATGGTCTAGATCACTGTTCACAACTTCCTAACAAAAGTGTATTTACATCGCCCTGACGGTTTGGCTCAGTAGATAGAGGGTCGGCCTGTGGATTCAAGGGTCCCAAGTTCGATTCCGGTCAAGGGCACGTACCCTGGTTGCGGTGCGCTAGAGGCAGCTGATCGATGATGATTCTCTCTCATCGATGTTTCTAACTCTCTATCCCTCTCCCTTCCTCTCTATAAAAAAAAAGTCAATATATTAAAAAAATTTTTTTAAATGTATTTACATTGTTTAAGTTCTTAAAAATGAACAACTATTGGGTATTCTCCCCCCCCATTAGAATAAAGTAACCAGACGTCCCGCTTTTGGCAGGACAGTCCTGCTTTTTAACAATTTGTTTTAAAAAGCCGTGGGACAAACTGTTAAAAAGTGGGACTGCCCTGCCAAAAGCGGGATGTCTGGTCACCTTACATTAGAAGCATATCAACGTCTACGACAGAGTAACCAAATGAGTCAATGGGCCCCGGAAATGCATGGAAGAATGAAAATGAAGGCAGGGCAGAACACAACTCTACACATGTTGGTGTTTTCTCATGACCCATGAGCTGTTCACACACAGGAGAGAACCCCCAAAGCAGATCTTCTCCAGGCACCCACAAGAGAATCCCGAAGGAAGACGTCCGTACCTTTACGCACAGGGAGTAGCGGTCCTTCACCTTCCTCTCGATGGCGCCAGCGGTCAGGAGGACGCCCTGCTGGGTCACCTCGAACGCGCCCTCGTCGTTTCCGCTCTCAATGGTGAAGGAGAAGGGGGGGCCGTTGTGAGAGGAGTCCCTGTCGGTCACCACCAGCTGCAGCACGCTGAAGCCCACCGGCTTGTTTTCCTGCACAGAAAACAAACACCAAGACAAAAACCCCCACAGCTTTCAACAAAACCCCATCCTTTTCTGCTGGTGTGTCAATCCTGGCCCCGGGATATGTTCCCACTGGTTTTTAGGGAGAGTGGAAGAAAGAGGGAAAGTCAGAGAGAAAAGATCGATGTGAGAGAGAAACGCATCAATTGGTTGCCTCCTGCATGAGTCCCAACCGGGACCCAGGCAGTTGAAGTACGTGCTCTTGAAAAGAATTGAACCCGGGGCCTTTAAGTCCAAAGGCTGGACACTCTATTCACTGAGCCACACCGGCTAAGGCAACAAAACCAAATCCTTATAGTAAGAGACATGAGCAAGTTTATCCTATACTATGAAATATATGGAAAGCAAAGTCTACTGCTGCTCCATTTGATAGAAGAGAGAGAAGGGAGGAAGGAAGGAAAGGGGGGTAATGAGGGAGGATGGGAGTGGATGGGGGCATTGTGGAGTGGGGGAGGGATGAAGTGACATGAAAGAGGACGGGAATGGAAAGAGGGGTGTTTGGAGAAGAGGGGGTGGGGTGAGGAAGGTCAAGAAGAAGGAGAGGAGAAGAGGGACTGCAGAATTTAAGGTTACTGGTAAGAATCAGGCTAATGTAATGAACTATTGTACAAACTGATAAACAAAAACAGAGCCAGAGACATAGAAGCATCAAACAGACCATCCAAACAACCCTACAGGGAAGGTGGGGCAGGGGGGATGGGAAGAGGGGTAAGAGATCCAACAGAAGAAGTTGTATGCATGCATATAAGCATAAATCAGACACAGTAAGGGGTGAGGGCATGTGCTGGAGGGGGGGGGGGAGAGGGGGGAGTGGCAGGGGGAGGTCAATGGGGGGGAGGGGGAGTGGATATATGTAATACTTTAAATAATAAAGAATTTAAATTAAAAAAAAAAAGCATCAGGCTAGTGAGAGTATCTCGAACACCAAAGCACAAGACAAGAGAAAAAGCTCCTGTCAGTGGGGAAGAAGACCCTCTCCTCTGACCATCTCATATTTCTAAGGCACAGCCTTTGGGAAAGGAAGACATCTCACAGGAGTAACTGAGCCGTAAAGGAGCTGGTCTCAGAAGGGCCGCGTGCAGTGAGCCCTGGGGGCCGGGTACCTGGATGATCACGCTGTAGTTCCCCTGGGCGAAGGCTGGCGCGTTATCGTTGACGTCGGACACGTCGATGTTCACTGTTGTGGTGTTGACCCTCGGGGGGCTGCCGTTGTCGGACGCCTGGACCGTGAGCGTGTACCCTGAAATCTTTCCGGGGACAAGACACAGAGACGGCGTGTCCGTTTTCTCCAAGCCAAAGGGCGGGGTTCCGTCAGAAATGTACTCCCGACGACCGGGAAGGGCAGGTCTGAAAGCCCGCATGTGGGCAATCCCTCAAACTACAGCAAGGTCATGGCCAATAACAGAGCTGCCAAGTGGAAAGTATTGGCTCAATAGAAAAAAACACCAGTGGTGAGTGGATTCTCTGATGCTCCCTGACCACGTCCTCATTCTGCTAAACTGTACAAACTTGAAAAACTGACGGACCTATTAACAAAAACTAAGAAAAGTGATTCAGATGACGAGGAAAACATGCTAACGGAGCTCCAAGGCTGTAACGAGGGGGAGGGCAACCTCCTCTAGGTTCCCCCTCTCAGCCAGCTGCAGGCAGACAGACCGAGTGCCTGCCGATTTCAACACCTCATCGATGATAAAGGAACCAAATGAACCCTATTTGGTTCAAAGCACCACATCAATTCCCCACCTAATAGAGTCAGAAGCATTCCACATCCCCCCCTCCCCCCATCAGTTTCACCCAGATGGACTGTCATCGAACTGCCTAAAGCCCCTGAGACTTTCCCGTCCTGACTTCCGATAAAACATCGCAGTCCAGGAAGGCAGCTTCTTTCCAGAAGGAGCGATGGGAGGAGCGGGAACACTGCCCACATCCTGAGTGTGTTCTGCAGCGCCTCTCTCAGCACCTGTGGTTTCCCTAATGCTGCTGCTCTCCCAGCCCAGCTCCCCGCTCCCCGAGGTGCCTCACCACACCAGAGCCAACACTCATTTCCTCCCAACTGTGTACCCAGGTCATCCGAACTCTAAGTAGGAAGCACAGCTCTCACACGCTCCCCATATTTTCATAGAGTCGTTCTCAAGTACTTCTATCGTGCTTGTCCGCTGGGGAGGACGAGGCTGGCTCTACCCTTTGGGCACTTCCCATCACGCTGGCGTGTCTGACTAAGGGGCCCCTCCACGGCCTGATTCTGTCACCCGTGAACCACGGAAGCCAAATGTTCTCGCTTACTGTTTCCCGGTCTAGAAGTCTGGTCACTTTCACTTCTCCGCGGGCGGGGTCGATGGTGAACGGATTTCCCTGATTGCCGTCGATGATGGAATAGTGGATGTGGCTGTGTAAAGGTCCATCCGCGTCATCAGCCATCACCTAGAACACAGGACACTCTGGCTCAGGAGACAGCGAACGAGGGGACTGAAATCTTTCAGCAGATTTCTGATATCAGCAGCTAGCTATTATAAGGCAATCTGTATTAGAAAAGCCCAGGGACCTTTACGGCGGAATGACCAGTTGCTATGACGCGCAATGACCACTCGGGGGCAGACGCTCAATGCTGGAGCTGCCCCTGGGTAGTCAGGGCGCTCCCACAGCTGGAGAACCGCTCAGCCAGAAGCCGGGCTCGCGTCTGGTGGGCGCAGTGGTGGTGGTGGGAGCCTCTCCCACCTCCGAGGCAGCACTAAGGAGCGGCGAGCCAAGCTGTAAGGAGTGAGCAGGCAAGCGGTTAGGAGCAAGGGATCCTAGAATGCGAGAGGGATGTTGGACCTAAACTGGCAGTCAGATATCCCCTGAAGGGTCCCGGATTGTGAGAGTGTGCAGGCCAGGCTAGGAGGAACGCCCCCCACACACACATGAATTTCATGCATCGGGCCTCTGGTTACTTATATTAGAGTCAGTAAATGGCTTAACAAAAATCATTTCCATATCTTCAAAATATATTCAATTAAGGCCACTCCAGAAAAGCTGGATCAATCTTTCTAAAACAAACAAAGAAACAGAAAAACCTCTCGCAGAGATCCAGGAGAAGAAAACTACAGGGGGAAAAAAATACGCACTGTGCCAGGCCAGGAGGTCACAGCTTGATTCTCAGTCAGGGCACATGCCCGGACTGCAGGCTCGACCCCCAGCCCGGATTGCAGGCTCGATCCCCCGGGTGTGCAGGAACCAGTGGATCACTGATTATCTCTAATTAATGGTGTTTCTGTCTCTCCCTGCCTCTCTGAAATCAATAACAATGTATCTTAGGAAAAAAATACACACCGTCAGGACAGGCTGCTCCAGAACGGCGTCCTCGCTGACCACGGCCGTGTAGGTGTCCTGGCTGAACACCGGGGAGTTGTCGTTGATGTCCGTCACGTTCACGTTCACTGTGGCCACGTCACTGAGGGAAGGGGTGCCCCCATCCGTGGCTTCCACAGTCAGGTAGTATTCGTGAGAGCTTTCGTAATCCAGGTTCTCGATGATAAATATGGCCCCTGCAAGAAAATCCAAATTACTCCCGACTCTGAAACGCTACTGCTTACTCGGGGATTAACCAGCACTTGTAACTAAATGTAACTTTCACTTCAAATGTTTACTTCCCGTTTATGTATGTTTTCTAATGTTGTTTTTTTTTTAATATGTGTTTTATTGATATTTTACGAAGAGGAAGAGAGGGAGATAGAGAGTTAGAAACATCGATAGAGAGAATCACCGATCAGCTGCCTCTTGCACACCCCCTATTGGGGATGTGCCCGCAACCAAGGTACACGCCCTTGACCGGAATCGAACCCGGGACCTTTCAGTCTGCAGGCCGACGCTCTATCCACTGAGCCAAACCGGTTTCGGCTGTTTTCTAATTTCTTAACTCACCAATTAGAATTATGAATTTGCCACCCTCGATCCTTATTTATTTCTCTTATTTTCCTTATATTCCTTGTGTTTTTTAAGTCACTCGCCCAATCAACACCATCAATACCCCACCTATAAAAATGACTATATGTCTTACCTCTTCTAAGTCACAGACTTCACTGTAACTTAATAAAATAAAAACATAAAAATACTTCCTTTGGCTTTGTGTTCTTTTCCTTCTCATACTTTTTCTTTTATGGAAATACGCATCGTTTTTTTTTTTTTTTTTTTTTTTACAAAACTCTCTAGAATAACTACATCTCATCACTTTAAAAATCCCTTTGATTTAATAACAATTTCATACTTTCTTTTTCACCGCTGTATTGCCCATACTACTTACAGAGCCCTAAAAATAAGTTTTATGATATGTGTTAAAAATACATTTTGAATAGCATCCTCACACACTTACTTCTCCCAGGAAACAGTTATGGACAATTAAATAAAATTTGAATGGAGCAACTTTTTACAATGTGCTAACACGTAAAGGTATTTAGACCACAGTTTACGACAACTAGGGAAGTATTTATGCAGCAAGAGCCTAAACTCCAATGACTTTTGACCTTGTTGGCAGTCATCTGTCAGTGTAATTCAAAGAACTCCACCTGTTATGCATACCTGGCATAATAAAAAAAAGTTATCTTTCCGAATCATCAGATGCCCCCATAGGAGCTAAGATCGAAGAGGTGCCGAAACTGGTTTGGCTCAGTGGATAAAGCGTCGGTCTGTGGACTGAAAGGTCCCAGGTTCGATTCCAGTCAAGGGTATGTACACTGGTTGCGGGCACATCCCCAGTAGGGGGTATGCAGGAGGCAGCTGGTCGATTTTTCTCTCTCATCGACGTTTCTAGCTCTCTATCCCTCTTCCTTCCTCTCTGTGGAAAATCAATAAAATATATTAAAAAAAAAAAAAAAAAAAAAAAAAAAGATCGAAGAGGTGGGGACCACCATTTCACGTGGGAAGCTATCTCCCACGAGTTCCATACGGGGATGAAAAAGAGGCATTATGCAAGGTCCCCTTCTATCCTCTAGTCTTCATCTTCACCAATTTGTCGCATTTTCTATCTATAGCTTTACTAAATCCCTCCAGTGAGATACTTTAATTTCCTATTTAAAGTTAACTTGCTTGGCTGAAACTGGTTTGGCTCAGTGAATAGAGCGTCGGCCTGTGAAAGGTTCGATTCCAGTCAAGGACATGTACCTGGGTTGCGTGCATATCCCAAGTAGAGGGTATGCAAGAGGCAGCTGATCGATGTTTCTCTCTCATCGATGTTTCTAGCTCTCTATCCCTCTCTCTTCCTCTCTGTAAAAAAATCAAAATATATATATTTTTAAAAAGTTAACGTGCTTGTAGTTATAATGGATACATCAGAAGTGTATTTTATTATGTAGAACCAGTTTGAAGTCTTCGAAACGTTAAGCCCTACTTAAAATAACAACACAAAGGAACTGTGAGCTTCATCTTTTAGAGTAGGGGTGTTGAACTCAATCAGAGAAGGGGCCAAAATCTAAAATCCAGCCTAAATCGCAGGCCGAATGGTTTACTGAACAGTCATAAACTGTCATTGTGATGGAAACGCAGTGGAGTGCAGTGATGACAGCGTGGTGCGGGCCACATTGCAAGGCCTGGCGGGATGGATTTGGCCCGCGGGCCTTGTGTTTGACACATGTGTTTTAGAGGATCTGCTAACAATGTATGACCAGCCCCCCTGTATCAGGCCGCGTGCTAGGCAATCTACCCTTTCCGGCAGATTCCAGGGTGTCCTGTCATCGACATGGCGAGTCACCTGTTTTAGAATCGATGCTGAATTTCCCATGCTCGTTCCCGCTGATGATGGAGTAGGTGATGTCTGCGTTTGCCTCGATGTCCCGACTGGCCGCGTACACCTGAAGGATCTCTGTTCCAACCGCCACGTCCTCGGACACCGAGGCTCCGTACTCGCGGTACTCGAACACGGGAGGGTTGTCATTTATGTCCAGCACGGACACCACCACAGTGCCGGTCGCCGTCAGCCTCCTGGGCACGCCCTGGTCCACGGCCTTCACGGTGAGCGTGTACACGGCCTGCAGCTCGCGGTCCAGGGGCTTCTCCAGCTGGATGATCCCGGACGACTCCTGGATGGAGAAGTGCCCGTCCGCGGAGTTCACCAGGGAATAGGCGATCTTCCGGTTCAACCCTGTCAACAGAGGACATCGCGTCAGAAGGCTCTATTTCTAAGAATTTAAAGTACATATTTTTAAAACACATGCCGCATATGTATTGAAAAGGAAAAGGGCTAAGACACGTTATTTTGAAAGTCATTGTATTATGACCTTAAAAATGTAAACGTTTAGATTATCAATGTACTGAGTTAAGGTAAATATAATTTCATCGTTATCCAGCTTCCTAAGACTGTTTTATATAAACTTTTGCTATAACACTCAGATCTTTTTTTGTTAATTCTTACTGGAAGATATGTTTATTGGTTTATTTTTTTAGAGAGAGGGAAGGGAGAGGGAAAGAGAGTGGGAGAGAGAGAGAGAGAGAGAAAGATAAGGAAAGAGGGGGAGAAAGAAACATTGATCAGTTGCCTTCCATATGTGCCTTGACTGGGGACCAAACCTGCAATCTTTTGGTGTTCAGGCCACTGAGCCACCCAGCCAAAGGCCCCAGCAGCTCTTTCAAAGTCTATTGATTACTTACCCTCAGTGACACAGATTTATTTGTAAAATAAATAATAAGACTGTTATTCTTCTAGCTTTTCAGTATTAATATGATTGAAGAAATTATTTTTATTCTCTACTATCAAAATGCTAGACATCCTAGACTTTTTATTTCTCCACAAGAATTTGAAGGTTTGTGAAACTGTAAAATATTGCATTTGTCCCTATGATACTAAAATATCTTTATGTCACTAATGGTTTAGTCACAAAACAACACTTCCCTGTTTGAATACCAGTCAACATAGTCACTAACCAGAATTGTAGGGACACCCCAGACACCTTACAGGCACAATTCTGAGACTGCAAATACTCCTTATAAGTAAACTCATTATTTCAAATATTTCATTCCAGGAATGAAATAACACAAGAACAAGGAGTTACTCAACACCCCTGAGGTACAATAACTCAATGGCCCGGGTCTGGGATGTTTCGAAACGGAGGCCCCTAGGGCCCAGGAGCATGGCTGGAAGACAGAGCGCCACCCCGTAGTACCTGCATCTGCGTCCGTGGCCTGCACTCTGGTCAGCGGCGTCCCAGGCTCCGTGTTTTCGAACACGGTGATGGTGTGAGGGTCGGCAGCGAACTCGGGGGCGTTGTCATTCACGTCTTCCAACGTGAGCAGCACGTGCGCCTGACAGAACCTTCCCCCTCCGTCGGTGGCCTTGACCAGCAGGTTGTAAACAGCTTGCTCCTCGCGGTCCAGGGGGGCTAGTGTCTTCAGTTCACCTAGGAACGAACAAAAATAAAATGGCCTAAATGCTACGTCTTCCCCTTTTCTCTTACAATCACAAAACCTGAATAACAGCCTTCCTTTGGGACAGTTTTGTCAATGACAGGGCCAGCGGCTGGGTGAGTACAGTGTGTTCCCGGCTTCCAACCTGTCAGGTGCCCGCTCTTTAAGGCCCAAGGATAGCAGGGCTGGGCCTCTTGCAGTGTGTATGTCACAGCACAAAACGGCTCCCCGACTGGGCCAAATTGAAATGTTTCTAGGTGACTCAAAATATTAGATTCCTATGTTCATAATTAGCTCTTTGGTGGGGGGCAGCTTAATAGAAAACTATTACTGGACCCCAATTTCACTAAAATATGAATTAGAAATACAATTGTAGCAACTTAAAGATGAATCATACATTGTGAGTTGTTTTAAGGAATATGCTAAATTATGACTTTATGGTCACGTACTCATGAAAGCAAGCTATATATATAAAATGGAGACAGTGAAAGCTTTAAATACACTTTAACATCTTGAGGTTTTCTTTTATATATAAAGGTGATAAAAACGACTCTGAATCCTTGGCTGTTGACGTTTTATCTCACCCCAAATTTTACCCAGTTAAGTTGCTGTTTTCGGTTTCTAAAAGATGACAATTTTTGCAGCAACCAAGTACGTGTGACATGAACAAAATGGAATTTCAAATTCTGTGCATGATCTACCACTACCCACGTGTGCGATTTTGTTGGAGCCCAGTTAATTCTGCCCCAAACTCCATCATTACCTGTGTCTGGATTCAGGTTGAATTTTTCTGCTCCTGGGCCTGACAAGGTGTATGTGATTTCGGCGTTGGACCGGATATCTGCGTCAGTGGCGGAGACCTGCAGGATCAGCTTCCCGGGGAAGGCGTCTTCTGGAATCGTGTCTGAATACAGAGTCTGCAAAGATCGGAAACAATACTGTCAACATGAAACACTGACGCATGGCGGCTGAGCAAATGACAGAAAATCAATCATTTCGCGTTGGCCACAGAAAACACGGGAAATGACTAACGTGAACATCCAAGGAGCTTTCAAAATGATTTTTCTCATGAAACGAGGCAGAGCCATGGAACAGTGAACAGCCCGATGCTGCGGAGTCTGGCGTGACATTTAACCTACACAGGCCTGAAGGCAGTGCTTTATGTCTTTGACTTGAGTTCCTATTCAGTTTCAATTCCCATGAGAAAAGATAAATAGCGCTCCACATGGACCTAAAGATTGGTTTCCCAATACAGAAATCTATCCCTAGCAATCGTTCTTAACACGTATCCAAAGACGGGCAGTTCGGAAAGAAGCGATCCTCGATCTTCGTGTCTTGGCAGAAAAGACAGATTCCCCCTGGCCCCATGGGTGAACGAAGCTCAGGGCAGGGCCCTTCCATCACCAGCTCTGATCTCTCTTCATGTCCAACCAGACTCTCAAGTGAAGGGGTGTTTCCTGATCCAACTATTTAGAAGTCCGTGCCGTAAACCACCACATAAGACGGCGATCACTCCTGCCCAAGTCCCCACCCTGCACCTCCACAGGACAGCTCTGCTCTGGGTTAGCTGATCTCACATGAAACAGCAGCTTAGTTGCAGGAGACGCACTATGAGCCCTATAGTTTTTCTAGGCCAGTGGTCGGCAAACTCATTAGTCAACAGAGCCAAATATCAACAGTACAACGATTGACATTTCTTTTGAGAACCGAAAATCGACTTCTGTGCATGGGCCACGAAGTTTCAATCACATTGTACATGCGCGCCCGCACGTGGTATTTTGTGGAAGAGCCGCACTCAAGGGGCCAAAGAGCCCCATGTTTGCCAACCACTGTTCTGGTGTGTTAAGAGCAAGCATCCCTAAAACTGTAAGAGCAAAAGTGAGCTCTGTCTGAAGAACTGCTGGCCAGATCCAAAGCAACCTCTTCCCCAAATGAAGGGAGTCACTTTCTGAAAACTTTACACGGCATTTGTAGAGTTAAACACAACTGCAATCCTGCCCATACTTGACAGCATTCTGAATCATTTCCAAACTCCTGGAGCACGCCCTGCACCAGCTCTGAGGCTAGGCCATCCCTTGCCCCATTGCACACTCGCCTCCGCTTAAACAGGAAGAGGTTATGATATGAAACACACCGAATGACACCCCGGCATCCCATCACAGCCCTACCGCCCACCACAGTCCTGCGGGGTGGCTGAGGAGAGAAGCCTGGATTCGCAGTCTAGAAACTTAAAGAGCAGCCTACCTTTTCACAAACTGGACTGTTGTCGTTGGCATCAAGAACTTTCACTTCAACGATAGCTTTGGATGAGAAGGTGCCATCCGTTGCTGTGATGGTCAGAAGGTAATTGTCCCTCTTCTCTCTGTCCAGAGGTTTTTTCACATACACCTTCCATTCATTCTGTATGTTTTCAACAGCAAACTGCCCCAGAGGATCCCCTCCTATTAATTAAATCAATGGAGAAAGATGACAGTTAACATACAGAAGGAAATACGTGATAGAAGAAGTAAATTATAGAACAGATATATAATGTTATGGTTTAAAATAATTAAGGTGGTTTTTTTTTTTTTTTTTAATTACATTTGAATTTGGAGTATGAGCTTCCCCGTTAACATTTGTATTTCAATAAAGCACTCAGTCAGCCAAGACCGGTTTGGCTCAATGGATAGAGTGTCGGCTTGGGGACTGAAGGGTCCCAGGTTCGATTCCGGTCAAGGGCATGTACCTTGGTTGCGGGCATATCCCCGGTAGGGGGTGTGCAAGAGGCAGCTGATTGATGACTCTCTCTCATTGATGTTTCTGGCTCTCTATCTCTCTCCCTTCCTCTCTGTACAAAAATCAATAAAATATATTTAAAAAAATAAAATAAAGCACTCAGTCAAATAAAATACAAAGACTACTAAGTAATACTTTAGCCTACTCTGAAACTATAGCTTTTCACTATATATTAAGCACCAAGATAAAGCTGAATAAACGAGTCATACAAATAAAAAAAGTTATAACCAAGCAACCATTCCCTTTGCACATGGCAAAGAACTTCAAATGTAGCTTCACTGGTGCTATTTCTCCTTATTGTGGTTTTGCTTAACTGAACTCATCCCTTCGCCTTCTCAATCCCATAAAATTCACTTCTCAGCACTCACTCCGACTTCTAATGCGTTCGGTTTTAAATGGAGCCGCTGGGGCGAAATGTCTTACCTGTTATGTAATAGGCCACCTGTCTGTTGATGTCCTCCGAGTCGGCGTCCGTGCTGCTCAGGATGGCGATGACGCCGCCCGGCGGGTCGTCCTCGCTCACGGTCCCTTTGTAGATCTCCGCCGTGAACCGCGGGGGGCTGTCGTTGACGTCGGTGACGGTGACGTCCACTGTGGCCGTGGAGGACAGCTGGGCCTTCTCCCCGTGGTCCGACGCGACCACTCGGATCTGGTAACGGTCCCTCTGCTCGTGGTCCAGCTCCCTGAGGGTGGTGATCCAGCCCGTCTCCATGTTGATGGCGAAGGACTCGGTGACGTCCGCGTCCTGGGACGGATCGAGGCTGTACATCACCTGGCCGTTGGCCCCCGAGTCCGGGTCCGAGGCCCTGACCTGGATGACGCGACTGCCCCCCGGCTGGTTCTCCACCACGAAGGCCTCGTACGGGTTCGCCTCCAGGACCGGGCTGTTGTCGTTGGCGTCCTTCACCTGGATGCTGACATCCACGGAGGCCACCACCTCGCGGTCCCCGTGGGCGCAGCGGGCGAGGATGGCGAACTGGTACCACTTGGTGGTCTCGTGGTCCAGGCTCTTCTCCAGCTTCAGCCGCCCGCTCTGCCGGTCGATCACAAAGAGCTCGTCCCTGTTGCTCTCGGGGGTGTTCCCTCGGACGAGGCTGTACAGCACGGGCCCGCTGTGCTCCGCGCGGACGACGTCGATCTCGGTCCCGATGGGCACGTCCTCGGACACGGTGTAGGTGTAGAACGGCTCCGAGAACTTGGGGAGCCGCGTCTCCGGGGGGAGCACCTTCACGTAGACGGGCACCACGGACTCCCTGGGCGGGGACCCGCCGTCCACAGCGCGCACGAAGAAAGTGAAGGCCTCGTCCTCCAGGCCGACCAGGCTCTCCCTGGTGGTGAGGACGCCGGACAGCGCGTGGATCTCCAGGTTCTCCCGGACGCCCGCCGCCTCGGCCTCCAGGGCGTAGGTGACGTCGGCGTTGGATCCCTCGTCCGCGTCGCTCGCCAGGACCCTGGCGACGGACGTGCCCCTGGGGGCGTCGGAGGCGACGTTCACCTCGTACCGGGCGGCTCGGAACTGGGGCGCGTTGTCGTTGTCGTCGGTGAGGATGACGTTGACGGTGCAGAAGGCCACCTTCCCCCCCGCGTCCCTGGCCATCAGGCGCACCGGGATCACCTTCTCCGCCGGGACCTCCCGGTCCAGCTTCTCCAGAGTGAAGACCCGCCCTCTCTCGTCGACGTAGAACCGGTCCCTGGCGAAGTCATTCACCACGTGGTAGGTGACGCGGCCGTAGACGCCGGAGTCCCCGTCGGCGGCCCGGACGGCGGTCACCAGGGTGTGCGCGGGGGCGTTCTCGGCCAGCTCCACCTCGTACTCGTTCTGCGGGAACGCGGGGCTGTGCAGGTTGCCCACGACGACGGTCACGTGCAGCCGGGCCGAGCTCCGGAACACGCCGTCCGAGACGGAGATGTTCAGGCCGTAGAAGGGCCTCAGGGCGGCCTGGCGGAGGAGGTTGGACAGCGTGACGATCCCCGTGGCCCCGTCCATGACGAAGTGCTTCTGGTCGTTGCCGGACAGGATGGAGTACTCCAGCTTGCCCGCGTCCGAGCTGTCCGCGTCGTAGGCCTTGACGCAGGCCACGAAATGCCCGTGCGGGGCGTGCTCGCTGATCCTGGCCTCGTACGCCTGCTGCTCGAACGCGGGCGGGTTGTCGTTGAGGTCCGTGACGTCCACCGTGACCTCCACCTCGCTGCTCAGCGGGGGCATGCCGCCGTCCACGGCCCGCACGGCCACCCTGTGCCGCCGGCACTGCTCGTAATCCAGCGCCCGGACGAGGGAGACGACCCCCGTGCCGCTGTCGACGTGGAAATGGTCGTGGCTCTGGCTGTGGTTCCCGGACAGGTGGTACGAGACGCCCCGGTTGGGCTCCGAGTCGGCGTCGGTCGCCCGGACGCGGGCCACGGAGGTGCCCACGACGGCCGCCTCGGACAGCGTGGCGGCGTAGGCCCGCTGGGCGAACACGGGCGGGTTGTCGTTGACGTCCTCCACCACGATGTCCACGAACACCTCAGCGCGCGCGCCCGTCAGCGAGTCGGTGGCGCGGACGCTCAGCTTGTAGGCCGGGTGGGCCTCGAAGTCCAGGGGGGCGACGACGTGGATGACGCCGGTGTTGAAGTCGACGGTGAACTGGCCGAAGGGGTCGCCGTCGGCGATGCTGTACAGCACCTTCAGGCCCTCGGGGCTGTTGGCCTGCACGTGCACCACGGGGCTGTGCGCCTGCACGTTCTCGGGGATCTCGGCGCTGTAGAAGGGCTTCTCGAACACGGGCATGGCCTTGTTCGTCACCGTGATGGGGACGACCGCCTCGGCCGAGCGCGCCGGGTCCCCCCCGTCCTCGGCCACCACCGTGACCAGGTACTGCTTGTTCAAGGTGTCGGGCCCGAAGGGCTTCTTCAGGGAGAGGTCGCCCGACGGGCCGATCTGGAAGTGCTCGTGGTGCTCCTTCAGGTGGTAGTGCACGGCCCCGTTCCTGCCGCTGTCCCGGTCCACGGCGGTCACCTGGCGGATGGTGTGGCCGGCCGCGGCGTCCGCCCGCACCACGGCGTAGTAAGGCAGGTTGACGAACACCGGGGCGTTGTCGTTCTGGTCCTCCACGGCGACCTTCACCAGCACGTGGGCCACGGCGGCGGCAGCGGCGGGCCCGTGCTCCTGCGTCACCTCCACCACCACGTCGAAGGCCTCCTGCTGCTCCCGGTCGAAGGGGACGCCCGTGGTGGACAGGACGCCCGAGGTGCGGCTCATCTTAAACCTGCGGTCGGGGTTGAGGATGCGATAGAACAGGGGCTGGTTCATCGGGTTGCCGACGGCGGCGATGACGGCCAGCGTCGTGGCTTCGGTGGAGTTCTCCTTGACGGTGGCCGCGTAGAAGTCCTGGGTGAACCTCAGCGGGCTCTCTCTGCTCTCCTTCACGTGGATCTTCACCGCGGCGAGGCCGGCGAACCTGCCGTCGGAGGCGCGCACCGTGAGCTCGTAGCGGCTTCGCAGCTGGGTGGTGTTCTGCACCGTGACCGAGCCGGTCCGGGGGTCCATGAGGAACTTCTCCCCGATGTTGCCGTCGGTGATGGAGTACAGCACCTGGGAGAAGGCGCGGGAGTCGGCGTCCGTCGCGTTGACCGCGACGACCCGGACCCCCCTGTAGGTGGGCAGCAGGAGGGAGGCTTCGTACACGGGCGTGGAGAACACAGGGGGGCAGTCGTTAATGTCAACGACGTGGATGGTCACGTTGGCCGCGTACTCGGCAAACAGGCGCGGCGCCCCCATGTCGTGCACCTGCACGGTGAAGCGGAACGCGCTCGCTTCCTCGTAGTCCAGGCTCGCGACCGTGTGGATCGCACCCGTGCTGGAATCGATGGCGAAGTGCTTGTGCGCCGACGGCTCCACGATGCGGTACACGAGCAGCGCGTTGGACTCCTGGTCGGCGTCGGTGGCTCGAACCACCAGCGGGACGTTCGTGTCGGTGAGGACCACGCTGTGCGGGGAGGCCGACTCGCTGACGAGGCCCGTGTACTCCGCCTGCAGGAACACGGGCCAGTTGTCATTTTCGTCCTGCAGGTGCACCAGGACCGTCGTGTTGGTGGACAGGCCCGCCATGTTGGTCCCTCGCACCGTCAGCGTGTACACAGGCAGAGTCTCAAAGTCCAGGGCTTTCTGAGTCACGATACTTCCCGAGTGCGGGTTGATGGCGAATGCATCCGCTACGTTTCCCTCTCTTAGTTCGTAGACCACTGATGACTGGCTGTGGGCTGTCACCATTGCGACAAAACTCCCGATGCCGACGGTCTCGCTGATTTCAACAGAATATTCTTTGGAGGTGAATCTTGGAGCGGCATTGTCGGCAACGGTGACGAAGATGTGCACGGAAGTGATCTCACTCAGGGGTGGACTGCCTCTGTCTGTAGCCTTAACCATCAGGTCATATTCCTCTTGGTTGCTGCGATCCAATTCTTTGGCAGTTTTGATAGAGCCCAAGATGGGATCGATTGTGAAAGAGTTTCCAATATTTCCTGGGAGGGGGGGGGGAAGAAAAAAAGGAGCATGTTAGAGAAAACTACAGGGACCAAGTACTGTTTGGAAATACAGAAACCAATGAAGGTAACTTTAAAAACTATATTCTGAAATTAAACAGAAATCGTGGGGTTATCAACGTTTGAATGGAACTTGTCTCCATTTTCAACTTGTTTCATTTCAGCAGACTAATCAGAGTTCTGTCCATCAATGATGGAAAGTAAGAAACAGAAGAAATATCACTCTGTATCTAACACCCCTTTTGCTTGACCCAAGAATGCTCTTATGGAAGGGCATGGTTCCCCTTCATCAAGCAGCTAAGTTCATAATTTTCCAAGTGTTCCCTCAAAAAACCCTTTAGAACAAGTTTATATTTCCGCATTTATCACTTGAAAATGCTCAAGATTCTCATTCATTATAAAAGGGAAAGCTTCAATTCATTAAGAGAATTTAACCAAATTCAAGAGTCCCTTATATCCAGGGGACTGATAAATAAGCTTGTGTATAACTTGCTCTACACTTCGGAGGTTTTGAGGAATTCGGTAGTCTCTTCTGAATCATGTTCAGGTCGATGTATCCCCTAAGTCAGTGGTTCTCAAGTGGGGGTGATCCTACCCAGAAGGGGATGTTCAACAATGCCTGGAGACATTTTTTTAAAAAAATGTGTTTTTATTGATTTCAGAGAGGAAGGGAGAGGGAGAAACAGAAACATCAATGATGAGAAAGAATCATTCATCGGCCGCCTCCTGCTCGCCCCCTAGTGGGGATTGAGTCCACAACCAGGGCATGTGCCCCACCAGGAATCGAACCCTGATCTCCTGGTTTATGGGTCAACTCTCAACCACTGAGCCACACCAGCTGGAGTTTCTGGAGACATTTTGGTTGGCACTACCTTGGGCGACAGACCAGAGACGCTGCTCAACTTCCTGCGATACACAGGACGGCCCCCACCACAAAAACCTGCCGCTCAAAAAGTCCGCAGGGTTGAGGCTGAGAAATTCTCAGACTGTTTTTACTGGCTTCTCACTGGACCTTTGTCACCTGCACTGTGTACATGTATTCAGCTGCAAGTGCAACTCTGCGGAGACCTGTTGCTGGGGGGTCGCATCTGCTGGAATCCTCCTGACGAAAACCAGCAGCGGACTACAGCTTAGCAGCTACCTATCTCTCTGAATAGATCAAGGCGGTCTGAGGGTTCGCCCCATCCGTGAACCCCCGTCCCTGTTCTGTTTTATACACAGGAGCCCGGCTCCGTCATCCTAGACACAGAGCTGAATGTGATTTTCCCAAGGGACTGTTACACTCAGCCCCAGAACAAGGCTGACTTGCCACTTAACTGCTTCCCCCAACTGCTTTCCTCCAGGCTCGCTAGGGAGGGCGGCGGCACTTCACAGAACCCCATTACCTACTGTGATTTGCAGACTAGGGGATTAACCCAGCACTTCTTTCTCCACAGCATTACTAGGAAACGCTTCCTCTCTGGCCTTCATTTCCTTCCTTTAACACATTTTCCAAAACCCCATGATAATGTTTCCTGAGGCCCGACCTGGTCTGGCTCTCATTAGGCCTGCCTGGCTCTGCACTCGGACCCACGGCCGGTCCTGCCACAGGGCGGAGGCCCAGGCTCCTCCAGGCTCCTGAGCTCTGAGCTCACCCCTGGCCCATGGACGGGGCCGTGCTGTCTCTGCCAGGCCTTGCAGAACTGTCTCCGGCCCGTCTGTGTCTATGAATCAACGACCCCGGAGTCTCTCTCTTAGTCAGTCATCAAGTCATCCCCTCTCACCCTGCCCGCGCACCACCCCACCGCCTGCCAAAACTGTGACAGGCTGTCTGGATAGTGGAGGAGACTGCGAAAACCTTTGCAGACGTGTCGCTATCCCCACCCCTCGGACTTCCGTCTATCTGTTTTTAAAAAAGAAGCCGACCTACTGTGTTTTATACTCCTTCATCTATATGCATTTTTCCCTCATCTTAGATGGAGAAATCTTTTTTTTTTTTTTAATATTTTTATTGATTTCAGAGAGGAAGAGATAGATGGAAATGTCAATGATGAGAGATAATCATTGATCCGTGGCTGCCTCCTGCACGCCCCTCACTGGGGATGGAGCCCGCAACCTGAGCATGTGCCCTGACCGGGAATCGAACCATGACCGCCTGGTTCATAGGTCGACACTCAGCCACCGAGCCACGCCAGCCGGGTGGACAGTGAAGTCGTAATGCTTCACATATACAAGGCATCACATTCTCTATCACCTGGAGCCGTATGGCTTTGCTACAGACAGCTCTGGCCCCGGCATTGGTAACATAGGTAAACAGGAAGCCAGCCAGCCAGCCAATTAATACATGGATCCCGCACAGACCATGGCAGAAAGCACAAGGTTTGCAGATGGAAGAGCAACGTGGTGCTTCCTGGAAGAACACCGAGGGCTGCTGAGTGGTGTGGGCATGCCATCTGATCTGGTAATAGACACACTCACCAAATACTGAACTACACGTATGCTGTTTGTGAACGGACTCACAGGGCCGTGGCGGAAGTCTGTCCTCGGATGGGGGCTTATCAGTCTCCTTCGCTGGAGATACTGTGATTTCTAAAGAGCCTTACACTGCTCCGGCTATTGGAGCAAGGCAATAACTGGGCGAACTTGCACGCGTGTGCTAATTAGTTATGACTGTATCTCTCTCTCTCTCTCTCTCTCTCTCACACACACACACACACACACACACACTTCACAGGGCATCCGTGTCACCCAGCAGGGACACGCCGTGGATGCCGACCGCCGGCCAGTGAGGCAACCTCTATACACTTCAAGTGCAATCACAACTGAACCTCAGTCTGGAAAGAAAATCCATTCCGGCCGATAAGCATCTTTACTGAGAGGCTTCTGTTTCCGGGTGTTCCCATCGTTTTGAAGTTACAATTACCTACTTTAAGAAATAAAGCACGCCAAGCTGCCCGGGGTACCGTTCTGAGCCTGTGTCTCCGAGCATATAACTCAACTGCTACTGAACTATCTTTAATTAATTCCTTTTCCCCTGAAGACTCCTCATCAGACCCAACCTTTTGCTCAATAAATCGCTGCTAATTCAACATGCCGTGCGATGGCCTGAATTTATAACTAGTCTTGTGAGCTTTGGTAAATGTAACCTGACAGACACGAGAAACAGGTGATTATGAATAAACGGTAAGAGCGTGGCCACAGGACCATTTTGCAGTTCCTGCTGTTCGAACAGATTCACTCCCACGCAACCCCACAGCGTGGAAAGGGAGTCATTTCCTATGAAGCACTTGTTCAGCACTATTTTCATAATACCAAATCGAAAACAAGATCTTTGTAAAAGTCCAAGGTCTGGGCTGGAACGGGCCCTTTGGTATTCCGCATTCGCTGAGTGGAGATGCAGTTCCATTCCTGGAATACCGAGTTACTAATTCCGTCAGCCCTGCAAGCATTTAAGGAATGTGTGTGCCTTCAGCCGGGCACCAACCATCATATTTTAACCACCCAGTTGTTGAGAATTATGTGAAAGCTAAGGGAAAGTTTCACATTTTCTCCTACACAGACCCAGCCAGTGTGTCTGCGGGAACATTATTTTATTCAAGTGCTCGGGCATGCACACGTGGAATGCGCTGTTTTTTTTTAACAGCTACATTTTTGAACCAGTGGGAAAGCCGTCATCGCTAGGCAAGGCACCAACCACATGGAAACACATTTCACTGCTGCAGCCACGGGCAGCGCAGGTCTTCCTTGTGGCTAGCTTTGGTCACTTTCAGCAAAATAAATGAAACTTCAAATATATTAATAAAAAACAGTTTGACCACATAAAATACATCAACAAAGTTTTTTTTTTTTTTAATTACTCTCCATTTGTGTGTGTGTCTTTTGATTATATGACTTAATAGCTGATTTTCACCTCTTTGAATTCTAATGCCTAAGATAGATGCAATTTCTAAAAATGTAGCAGTATGGACTTACAAAAAAAAAAAAAAAAAAAAGGCAAGTGAAGGAGATGATTTCAATACTCCAGCGTCTATGAAGGCAGAACAAGGAGAGAGACTTTGTACAGACAATGGCACTAAGGAAGACAGAGAGCTGAAAAGTGCCTTCTCCATACTGCATCACGAACTCTCATCGTTTGCCATGAGTGGGGAAAGGCCTGAAGCAAGGCCGCATCTGACCACACACACATGCTCTAACGCAGACTGAGCGAACTCTGTCTCAAACAAGAACATGCCTGCGTGGACCCATGGGGAAACCCCACGCCTATCACGTTTGAACAGGAGCGTGCCCAGCATGGCACCTGCACATGCAATGAGCTCCAGGAGATCCTGGGACGAATCACGGGGTAGCTGAACAGCAGCAATTTGACAGAGAACAAACACACTGTGCTTGGCCAGTGCTTCTCTGTGACGCTCCTCCTGTGTCCCCCGGCAAGACTCGGCTCTCCTGCCTCCTCATCCCTGCATCTGCCCTCACTTCCAGCTGCTCTCCATGCCCTGTGCCTCTTGCCCAGCTCCAGCCCCTTCAGCTTTTCAACCATCACTGAGTCCACATCCCATCCCTGGGACCGACCACGAGGAGCCACCCCCATGCAACCTGAACACAGCCACGCAACTGTTCAAGCTGCATGGGGGTCACTGTGGCAGCAACACTCACCCCGGAAGGGCAGGGGCGTGACCCTCTCTCTTGTGAGACCTGAGTGGGTCGTAGCTGGAATAGTCAGCACTCCACCATGAAATTCCTGCTCTGCCCAGGAGAAAACACCCCGACTACAAGTCAAGCATGACATTAAGAGGCCAGCATTTTCCTAAGAACGCTTTCTAGTTTAAGAAGGAAAATGATTACATGGTTAAAAAGAAGTTTAGAGCCCGGCCAGTGTGGCTCAGTGGTTGAGCGTCGACCTATGAACCAGGGGGTCGCGGTTTGATTCCTGGTCAGGGCACGTGTCTGAGTTGTGGGCTCCATCCCCAGGAGGAGGAGTGCAGGAGGCAGCCGCCAATCAATGGTTCCCTCTCATCACTGATGTTTCTATCTCTTTCTCCCTCCCTCCATCCCTCCCTCTTCCTTCCTTTCTGAAATCAATGAAGATATATTTAAAAAAAAATACAGCCTTAGCCGGTTTGGCTCAGTGGATGGAGCATCGGCTTGCAGACTGAAGGGTCCCAGGTTTAATTCCAATCAAGGGCACGTGTCTGGGTTGCAGTCTCGATCCCCACTGGAGGGTGTGCAGGAGGCAGCCAATCAATGATTGCCTCTCATCATTGATGTTTCTCTCTCTCTCTCCCTTCCTCTCTAAAATCAATAAAAACATATTTTTAAAAAAACAGCACAAGTTTAGAAATACTGAATTGATCAAATCAAGTTTTCTGTGTGGTAGGACCTCTCAGCTTTGAGTTATGCTCATATTGTCTCCACGCACTTGACCCAAACTTGTTAGCACTCTATCCTGGCTTCCTGAAGAGCTAGCGCTTAAATTGTTTTCGCTTCTCCTACAGTGAGACACGGGGATGGGTTAACCCCCAGAACCGATTTTAGAAGCGAAGAAACAGACTTTTTAACAAGTGCCAAGCTCTGCCCTCGCCAGTGTGGCTCAGTGGCTAGAGTCAGACTGTGGACTGACGGGCTCAGGTTCGATTCTGGCCAAGAGCACATGCCTGGGTTGCTGCGGGCTTGATTGCCAGTGGGGGGCGTGCACGAGGCAGCCGATCCATGATTCTCTCTCATCATGGATGTTTCTATCTCTCTCCACCTCTTCCTTCGTCTCTGAAACCAATAAAGAAATGAAAATGAAAAAAAAAAGTGCAAAGCTCTGAGCCTCGGGAGTGCTCCCCACGTACCGGACTCGATGGAGTACGCCACTTCGGCGTTCCTGCCCTTGTCCCTGTCCAGTGCGGTGACCTGCAGCACCACCGAGCCCACGGCCGCCGACTCGTACACCCGCCCTTCGTAGGAGGAGCTGGTGAACCAGGGCGCGTGGTCGTTCATGTCGCTGACGTTCACCTCGATCCTCGCGAAGTTGCGCTTCACGGGGACGTCCTGATCCCGTACCTGCAAGACAGCAACGTGATCGATCGATCCCGTCGGGATTTTCCTGACTTAAAACCCCTCTCGAATGCATGAGACCCTTCGGCGCTGCAGGGCGGCCGGAGCAGGGGCAGAGAGCTGTACCATGACAGTGAGGATGTGCTGGTGGATGGCCTCATGATCCAGGGGCTCTGAGGTGTAGAGGGAGCCAGTGGCAGGGTCCAGGCGAAACTTCTTGAGGCTCAGCGGGTCGCTGCTGCTCTGCAGGGTGTAGATGAGTTTGTTCTTCTCGTCCTTGTCCACCGCGCTGATCTGCAAAATCTCTGTTTCTGGCGCCGTGTCCTCCGGAATCACAACTTCGTACTTGGACGTGGAGAACTGAGGACGGTGGTCATTGGTGTCTATGACTTTGATGAATACCTATAACGACAGGACGGGTCACATGATCATATTCCTAAGTCTGGCCTTTTAATAAATAACCAGTGGATCAGGTGCACATTTTAAGAAACTGATTTTTTTTTTTTTTTTTAGCAAAAATAAAATGCAAACATGAGAAAGGTAACAAAAATCAAAGTCTCTTTAGATTTTTCATGGATCTATTATTTCTATACATGAGTATGATAATGAGGACCCTCCTAAATTCCTGAGACCAACTTTGGAGAGAAAATGTAATATCTTTCACACACTTATTTATGAAATGCAGCAGAGGTATTTCTAGATCCCTAGATAACGGTAACAGAGAATCTGCTTTCAGGTTTACAGAAGACTAATTTCCTGGATCAGCGATGAATCTGTACCTATCTTGCTGTTGAGAGAGGAAATACTAGACCGTCACAGGATCTAAATTTCTTGTTCCAATCTTTGAGACTCCAAATTCCTATCGACAGACTGTTTTTATATTTATGAAAAAGGTAAGAAATGCGCTTTTAAATCCTTATCTTTTTGTGATCGTGAAACCTATGTGTAAACAGTAAACACATTTATTTCCTAAAAGCAACTGAAGTACAACGAAAAGATAAACTCTCTTAAACATGTCAGCATCGAATAAAAACCTTAGAAGAAAAAAGCTGATGTTAAAAAAATTCGGTCCCTGCCGAAGCCGGTTTGGCTCAGTGGTAGAGCGTCGGTCTGCGGACTGAAAGGTCCCAGGTTCGATTCCAGTCAAGGGCATATACATTGGTTGCAGGCACATCCCCGGTAGGGGGTGTGCAAGAGGCAGCTGGTCAATGTTTCTCTCTCATCGATGTTTCTAGCTCTCTCTCTCTCTCTCTCTTCCTTCCTCTCTGTAAAAAATCAATAAAATATATATTTTTTTAAAAATTCCGTCCCCAGTAAAATCTTTCTCCATGCCAGGAGGAGTCATTGTCAGATTGCAAAGGCGCATTCAGATGAGGCAAAGTAGAAATGACCACTGCCTATTAAAGCGATTTACAGTATGAACAAGCAAGCTAGGTTTTGCTGGAAAAAAGGGTTTGCTGGTCCCGATGGCACAGGGGCCTGGGCCCCAGGAACGCCTGGGGGGCGTGTGAACCAGCAGCTGGTGCAAGAAGCCTGTACCAGCGCTCAGAGCACACCGAGCCCATGATGGATCGTCACATCAGACTTTATATGAACACTAAATGCAATCGCCCAAGTGCAGCAAGCTCTTATGTGAAAGTTATGTAAATATTTAAAGCGACAGAGGCCTCACTCTTCAATGTTAACGGTGATGCAGAAGGGATGGCTCCAAAGGCAATTCCTATAGATTAAATCGTTATGTATTTATTCCCACTATAAATTTAGAAACGCTTCTTCTCATGGAGTGCGGGGCAGACACAGTGTGATCCTGCTCCCAGATCCATTCATCACAAGTGAGCAGGAACCGCTGAAGGAAGACCAGCCGTTCTCGGTAAGGCCATGCCACTGACACTTTGGGCACCAACAGGTCAGCTCTGAGCGTGTGAAATAAATGTGGCAATCCCGCCTCATGCACCTCCCAACCTCCTGGGCCATGTCCTGTACAGGCAAAGTCTAAGGAGGTTTCATACACGACCAAGTAAGTCTTTCGGAGAAGCTGTTCAGGAAGAAGTAAAGCTTTGCTTGCCTAGGTCAGGGGTTGGTAGATGAATGTACATTTATTTGGGTAGGAGGAAGATGCTAAAGGGATTATCAGAAGGATGTTACCCGTTATCTTACACAGCCCTCACTAAGGTAGCCAAGGCTTTAACCAGCTTCGATGAAAACGACTTGGACAAATCATCCTCAACAGGGACACATTTTTTGTAATCCTTACCTGAAGATATTGTTTCCATTGTGTTTTTTGTTTGTTTGTTTGTTTTTTAGAGAGCAGGGTGGAGGAAAGGGAGAAACAGCGATGAGAGAGACACATCGACTGGTGGCCTCCTGTTTGCACCCTGGCCGGAGCTGGGGTTTGGGTCTGCAATGGATATATGTGCCCTTGACCTGGAATCAAATCGGAGACCATCTGGGCCAATGGTCTAACCATTGAACTAACTGGCCAGGGCAACAGAAATATATAAAATTATCTTGATAATATAACAAGATATGTGGGTCTCTTAAGTCTTCTTTCAAAAACTTCAAAATTGGTTAAATATATGCAAAACCTAAATCGGGATTTGCAGTTCATTTTCTTTCCCTAAATAAAAGTCCTGGGTGTGCATGTGTGTTAACTACAGTCACATGGCAACTTCTGATTGGAGAACCTCGGGGGGGCAGGATGAACTGCTCAGATCCTCCTCTGACAAGCACTGCCCCATCCTCCACTAACCTGAGTCAGTATCGTGCTGGTTCCATCTGTCGCCTCGACTGTAAGGTTGTAATCTGACTTCTGTTCCGCATCCAGAGGTTTGGCAACAATGACGGTGCCCGTGCCCTTGTCCACGTCAAAGTGACTCTCATAGTTGCCGCCTGGTTTCAATTAGGACAAACAAGTGAGAACAGGTAACAGGATGAAAGCCTGCCAACTGCTTTGTGGCTTTTTCGTTCTGAATGCCAGTAAAAGAACACTTCTGATATATCAATCAATATTGGCCACTGTGATTCTCAGGAGCTTTCATTTTGAAAACAAGGAAGACCAAGACACTGCTTTTAGGAACGCAAAGTGGAGACCTAACTGTCAAGGCAACAACTAAGCAAAAGGAAGCAAGAAAGCAACTCTGAAAAGAGGAAAACATGGCTAATATTGCCCATGAATGATTCCGGATTTACTTTTTCAGGGGTTCTAAAAATCTCTTTAATTGATGTTGCAGTAGCTATGTAAGATATCATTTGGTAACCAAAGTTGGCGGTTTAAAAGTTTATTTATAGAAAATAACAACTGTAACACTTTGGGCATATGGCCCTAATAAAATACTTATTAAAAACAAATGTTAACTTGGACAAAAACAGCGATGGTTATCAAGAGTTAGCCATGACTCTAGTATGTGAATTTTTTTCCATTGTTGTCAAAGAGGAATGAAGCAAATATTTCTGTGCTCCTTACATTATCCAAATACAATGCCAATTATATATCCTTGATAAACTCTTTTCAAATCCATTGAACTTGAGATACTTACATCAATGAAATGGAATGAAAATGTCTTGACATCACAATGAATTTCTATTGCTAAATCTTACCAAAAATAAAAATAACACACACATACACAGCCAAGTCTTCAGTTAAAACAAAGGATCTAGGGATGGATGAAAAGTTGGTAAGTTTGCAATTAAAATGGATGACCACGTGCACACTATGAAAAGAAAACTCAATGAAAGGAAGGCCCTGGAAATAAAACAGTTCTAAAAAAGTGATGCGTTTATTGCAGATCTCATAATCCGAGACAAATTATGTGATCTCAGCAGATACCTTCTGCTGTACAGTTCAGGTCACAAGTCATCTGAAAGATGTGAAACACGTCTCTAGCCAGTGTGTCTCCTGGCACAGCCCAAAAGAAGCAAGCAAGCATGGAAGAAAGCAGAGAACAAGGCAGAGCCGTCAATCAGACCGCTTCCAAGGGCAGGCAGGGTTATATGGTGATGCTAGAGGCTGCACGGAAGCAGCCTGCTCATCTGGAAATGTGAGAGGGATTAAAAGACAGCAAACAAACTATTCTGATTGCGGTGGACTACAAACACAGTCTCATTTCTTTTCTTTAAAACTAACCTGTAATGGTTTCATAAGTGTTGATGACAACCACAATCCCATACATTGACCCGCATGATGAACACAGCCTAACGGTCCAGTGTGCAAGTTCAAGGGGAAAAGCTGTACCGGTATACCTGTGGTCCCTCAGCCTATGGCCCACCAGCTCAGCTTGCTGAAACAGCATCTGGGGCTACCATGGCTGAGAGGTGGATGAGGGAAAAGGGATATAAAATCTCAACTAGAGATGAATTGTAATCTGTGCTTCTGACCTTAAGTATCCTTATCATTAAAATAGTGTGAAGAAACCATAAAAACGTATCAAAGTCTAATGTGAACTTTTTAAAAGTGTGTTGGAATAGGTTATTAGATCCTATGTCTATACTGAATTAAGTGACAAAAACAAAAAAACCACTGGCTTACGCATGTAATTTAATCTAGTGAATCTTGCTTCCTACTGAAAATGAGGTAAATAAAACTTTAAAAGTCATGATTGCCACTATCGTTTTTAAGTTATAACATAAAAAAATTTTAAGCTTCTTCTCTATAAAATACTGATGCGTGACCACCACACATAGTTATTTTAAACATTTAAATCATATTCACTGAAAATAGCAATCTGCCATATGCTATGTTTCTAGAGGGAAAAATTAAAAAGCCGTATTTTTGGATCAGAAACTGTACTTTTGGACCAAAATGTTTAACATTTCTCTAAGTCCTTGACGTACTTCTAAAAACCCTATTTTTTCATATTGAGATGGTACACATAGAGCATCTATTTTAGACAAGTTGAATATACGTTGGATACCGTGACAAACTTTGCAATCAAGATACTGCAATTTAAAACAGATTGGTCTTCTTTCCGATTTTCCATTTCTGAGACATGCACAAAAGTCAGAAAAGCATACACAGGCTCTCCACGGTATAACCCAGACAAGGACGATGACAGCCATGAGGAGCGCTTACCAATGATGTCAAACCAGAGAGGGGTGCCTGGAGGCTCCACGGCTATCACTCCGATCATGTGAGCGACGGGGTCGCTCTCCATGACAGTGAAGGAGAAAAACGATTCTTCGAAGGAAATGGACTCCGGGGACGGTTTGGGTTTGGAGATCCATTCAATGTGGAGGCGAGTGGTTGACCACTTCTGGGGGCGACCGTTGTCAACCGCCTTGATCTGTATGAGCAGAGGTGATCAAAAGATCAAATGATTAGAAGTAACATCCCGTCACTGAGGCGTGGGTTGGGTTGGTCTTAGACGGAGCCAATTTCAATCACTTAATATCTGTCTTTGCATATTCCATGCGTTTAATGCTTGATCAAAAAGCAACCTCGCCGGGACCGGTTTGGCTCAATGGATAGAGCGTCGGCTTGGGGACTGAAGGGTCCCAGGTTCGATTCCGGTCAAGGTCATGTACCTTGGTTGCGGGCATATCCCCAGTAGGAGGTGTGCAAGAGGCAGCTGATTGATGACTCTCTATCATCGATGTTTCTCTCTATCATCGATGTTTCTAACTCTCTATCTCTCTCCCTTCCTCTCTATACAAAATCAATAAAATATATATTTTTTTAAAAAGCAACCTCTTCCCGCCACACTCAACAAATAACAACTGGAGTGACAACTGAGAAGAGGAAAACAAACCCATACTTCGCATTGTCCTACTGAGGCCATTTCCAGATAAAGTTATAAGAGAACGAGAGCTAAGACTAGACTGATAATAAACGTTTATAAGAAATTCAAAGACTAGATCTTTACTCACGGAAAGAATATCGTATTCTCCGGCTGCAGAAAACTTCTTGGATGACACCAGTCCGGTTTTGGGCTCAATAAAGAACTTCCCAAGCTCGTTGCCCTCCTCGATGCTGTAGGAGATCTCGGAGTTGGGACCCTCGTCCTTGTCGGCAGCGATGACCCGGTAGATGGGGTCGCGTTTGGCGTTCCGGTCCCGGTCCGGCTTTTCCCGCTCGGGGAGTCGGATCTTGTAGAACTTCTGCAGGAACTGAGGTCTGTTGTCATTTTCATCGAGGATTTTCACAATCACTCTTGCAACGGTTGATTTGGGGGGACTGCCATTGTCTGTCACGGTAACCTATTTTTTAAAGGTGAGAGATCAGCAACGTTTTTAAAATACACTCAATAAAAGTGATGCTTTCTTCCTAACGAGAATGGATGCTAAAAACTAAAATGGACTGAAGTTTCCCAGGGAACTATTTTCTGTTTGAAGCTTGACAGGGGTATATCCTGTTATTTACACGACCGTGGATGGATCCTGACCGTACTTGTCAAGTACACAATCTACCTTCCCAAACTCTCCAGGGCACACAGCTCTAACCACAAACCACCTCCTCTCAGCCCTGTGAGGAGGCGGGACGACCTCTCCATTTTCAGATAGAAATGCAGGGAGGGGCAAGGGCTAAGGAAGAACTGGCTGTGAGCCCTAACCTCTCCCTTCCTCACACTGCCATTTTTTGAAACTGATTTTAGAGAGCAAGAGAGGGAGAAAGAGAGAGACTCATCCATTTGTTGTTCCACTTATTTATGCATTCACTGGTTGATTCTTGTATGTGCCTGGACTGGGGATCGAACCTGCAAACTTGGTGTTATCAAGACGGTGCTCTGACCAACTGAGCTACCAGGCCAGGGCCCTCACGTAATTGTTACCCTACTGTGAATGTCACCAAAATGCTAAGCTATCGAGATGTATTATTTTTAAGCCAAGGAAGAGATACATGAAGATTTTGCTTTAAGTATCTAAAAAGTCTTCTTAAAAGATGTAGATATTACATATACTTAAAAGTAAAATCTCCACATAGTCCATTAAAAAACTATCATTTTTAAGCTTCCTCAATAAAATAAGCTAAGTCATCAATTTAAAATATATGCTAAGCAGCACGCCTTTTAATACTAGTAAGTAGAAAGCATACCAAAAAACCACTTATGTAAATAAAACTTAAATTCAAATCACTGTTTTCAGTTTTGCTTATACTCTCTGTGTGTGCACGAGTAAGTACAAACATTAGAATGGAACTTAGGATAGTGGTCTTGCATGCTGGGGACACAAAGGGAAATAAAAGGGGCATAAAATATATGCGCAATGTTTTATATTCCTTTTTATTAATGACAGTAAGCTAATGTATTCACAGACTATTAACAGCTGTGAATACTAGTAAATGAGAACAAGAATGTTCTTTCCCAAGATATTTACGACTACGTTTTCAAAACAACTGAAAATAAAGAAATGCTTACTTCTAATATGTGCTCATCTTGCTGTTCTCGATCTAGTTTCCTCGATGTAGTTGTGATGAGACCTATAAGGCATAACAGTTCATTCATTAGTCCTCACAACAATAAACACATCACCACAGTCCATGTGTAAGTCTGAGCAAACCTCTTAAGTTATTCTCAAGGGAAAAGAATGATTAATACAAAACTTTCATTTTAACAATTCTTAAACTCAGTAGGTATATTGCAGAAGTATTAAGAAAGTGAAGAACTCAAATCAGTTACATTTTTTTGGTTTAGTAGTTTCAATCTGCCTTGTCAAAAAAAGATATTTAGAACACGAGATGGAATTATTCAGGATTTCAGACTCATCCATATCTCCTTCAACTGCTGCAGGGCCCATCTCTCTCTTTCTCTCTCTCTCTCTCTCTCTCTCTCTCTCTCTCTCTCTCTCTCTCTCTCTCTCTCTCTCTCCCCCTCTCTCCCTCCCTCTCTCCCTCCCTCCCTCCCTCCCTCCTTCCCCCTTCCCTCTATCCCTCTCTCAAAATCAATATTAAAAAACACACACACATATACTCAGGTGAGGATTTAAAAACAAAATTGACAGAAGCAATTGCTATCACTAGTGAAAACGGCCATTGGAACTGGTTTGGCTCAGTGGATCGAGTGTTGGCCTGCGGACTGAAGGGTCCCAGGTTCGATTCCAGTCAAGGGCATATGCCTGGGTTGCTTTATTCTCCATCAAAAGTTTTTTCCCCATCAAAAGGAGGCAGCTGATCAATGATTCTCTTTTATCATTAATGTTTCTCTCTCTCTCCTTCTCCCTTCCTCTCTGAAATCAATATATACATATATATATACATACATATATATATACATACATATATACATACATACATATATATATATATATATATATATATATATATATATATATATATATATATAAAAGAGAAAGGCCATCGGGAAATATAATGTATCTGACTATGCTTCATTACCTTTGCAACATCTACTCTCCAAAAATGAAGATTTATTATAAAAGAAATGTGACTTTCCAGCTGCTCAAATAACAATTGTTTCATTTCTAACAAAAAAAGAAAATTGAGACCTCCTTATTTCTTTGATTTTTCTACCAAACTATAATATTGAATTTATATCTCTCTCCTGAATTATGACAACTGTGTGGTAAACTGTCAACATATGTTGGAACCAAGAGGACCACTAAAATTGATAAATTTATTCTTGAACTTCACAAAATGTACAAACAAAACTGCCCAGCCCCTGAAATACCCTCCCTACCCCGTGCTGATGACGGACAGGCGGGTGCGGGGCGGCTCCAGCATTCGCTCTGAAGGTCAGGTTCAGCCTCCTGTGGCCAGACCACAGTTAGCGCCAACCTTCCCGCTGCCCAGCTTTCTGTGGTTCCACACGGAAATACTTCGAATAATCCATATTTAAGAACAGAATTCATCCCTCTTTTGGATTTTCTCTAGTATCCTATTTTCACAAAACTACCAATTTAAGGCTCTTCAAAATGTTTCTCTACATTTGTAAATGAGGGGCTTGTGTTTTCATGTAATTTGAGGTATTTCTTTTTCTTAACTAGTCACTAATAATCTAAATCCAGATTGAAGTATTCGCCATACTTCCTTCAATGAAGCAATGCTCTCTTTTGAATAAGAACAACAAAGGACTATTTTGTAAGTTAGAATCTGAGGTTTTCCCTAAAACATACCCGTGGATTAATAGAGGTTCCAAGAAAATGCTTTCCAAAGCTTCATGGTGTGAGTATGTTGCTTTGGCACAAGTTTAATGCCCATTTCTTAAAAACCTTTTCAAGTTTAAGTTCTTTTTTTCCCCCCATCAAAAGTTTACCAACCCTTCTTTTTTTTTAATTTATTTTATTGGTTTTTGTTTTGTTTTTTACAGAGAGGAAGGGAGAGGAATAGAGAGCTAGAAATACAGATGAGAGAGAAACATCAATCAGCTGCCTCCTGTACACTCCCTACTGGGAATGTGCCCGCAACCAAGACACAGGCCCTTGACCGGAATCGAACCTGGAACCCTTGAGTCCGCAGGCCGCCACTCTATCCCCTGAGCCAAACCGATTAGGGCTAACATCCCTTCTGTTAGTGCTTTTAAATAATTCAAAAACGACAGGAAGTCACTGGGATGAGTACCATACAATTGTCCCAAAGTGTCCATCAAAAAGTCATCATCATCAGTGGTCACTTCACTAGGACAACAGCTTGCTTTGACCACCTGGGTTCCGCTGTAGAATTCATTCTGCCTTTCACACTTACTTCCACCTCTGTGACCCTGCTAATGACCCCTCTAACCCCTCTCCCGCCCTCACCACTGTGATAAACACTCACTTCAAAAAGGAGCCCAGTGTATACCTTTTCTATGTACCTCAGCCATGCTATTAACCTTAGGTATTCAATAGTCTAAAAAGGGCGTCCATTTCTTTCATTTTAAACATCTGTGCTCATCTGTAATGTTTATTACTAAATCCCAGGAAGACATATGCTTCATTGAAACAGCACAATATTTCCAAACTGCAGAGAAACCCAATGCTCAGGTGTGTGAGCCAAGGAGAAGTTAAATTGTTCCAAGGTCACCAGTAAGTCGTTATCAAGGCCAGGCTTAGAGTTTAGCTTTTCTGTGGCCCCAATGAGAAGGGGTTTGTTTTGTTTTGTTCTTCCCCGTCCCCATTCCACTACACACTGCATAATTTACTGCATTATGGCATTTCAACGCTTCATAAACTCTGAACTGTGACTTACATAAAAGTTAAGGGGGGAAAGGGAGCAGTTGGTAGCCATAGTCAATCAGTATTCACTTAACGGGTTCAAAAAATGCAAGTTAGAAAAGAAAACAGGATGGCTGAAAGCAGGAAAATGCATACGCAAGTGCTGGCTTTTGTAACTTTGTGTTTTATCTTTCTTTTCTGCGAAGCCCTATTAAATTAAAAATAGAAATGAAAATAAAAAATTTTCTTTCCTTGACCTAGAAAAACATCCCTTTCTGTAGACCAGCAATTTTCAACCTTTTTCATCTCATGGCACACATAAACTAATTACTAAAATTCTGTGACACACCAAAAAGTATATTTTTTGCTGATATAACAAAAAAATAGCTATAATTCTAATTCACTAACACTGGACAACTATTGCTCTTTTGGTTGTTGTTGTTTTTTAATTGGACAATCTAAGGGAGAAGGGTTCAGGCCCCTGACTGAACAGTCAGGAATTGCATGTTTTTTAAGATTTTTTGCGGCACACCACTTTGAAAACTGTAGACCAATACTATTATAAATATATAATAGGTGGGCTGAGAGGACAGATTACAATATCTTCTCATCAATTTATCAGTTGGAGTTCATCCTCATACATGTATATAAAATTAAGTTTACCCCCATACATATATGTAAGACTAAGAAGCCAAACCTTCCTATATTTTGTGAATATTACTAAAAATGATCCATAGCCTCTCTATGCCACTCTAGACATTTAGAGAAGAGTTCCTTTAAGAAAAGAGAGAATGGTAGATTAATTGCATGCTTCACTAGAAACTTTTATTCTCTGACATTTCTTACAAATCCGTACCAGATACCATCGGCAAACTGCCCAGTTTAAGAGATCAAATAGATTTCATGGACTAGAATGCACATACTGGTGAGTACTGGAGGATCGGTAGGTACAGATAATCGGAGATAGTCCTCATACGTGAGACTGCCTCTATGCATTCTTCAGCTACGTTGTGCTGTCCAGTAAGAACGCAGATGACTAAGACAGTCTTGTGTTCAGAGTGTTTGAGACACAAGGGTGAAGGGGAGAAGGCAAAGACAACATTCAAGAAACAACAAGAGGGGCCTAGCGTGTAGGGTGCATACTGAAACCGGGGGAGAGGCAGCAAGGGCTCCTGCTCAGGGCTCTGCATTTCAAATAACTTTGAACTTGGGTGATGAGACATGTAGTGTAGCCAGCCCCACTGCTCCTGTGGATAACCAACCCACCACCTGACATGCAAGTGAGGCCACCCACGACCAGCCAGCCTCAAGCCCACCGGCCGAATGGCCACCACTGCGCGGGAGATCAGACAAATGTGGACAAGATTAGACCTGCCCATCACTCACATTTTTAAAAATTTTCTTAATTTTATTTTTTGGTGGTTGTTGTAAGCCACTGAGTTTTTGGGTGGTTTCTTTTAAGATCCAACTGCAAGGAGAGAGCAAGTACTTGAGATCTGTAGGAGTTTTCTAAGAACTGAAACTGTACAAAGTCCCATAATCCAAAGATAATCACTCAGACTGCTTTCTAGACTGTACTGTTGTCTTCATTTGAAATGTTGTATGACTTTACAGGGTATTATTCTATACACAAGAAAATTATTGAATAAAAGGCAGAGAATTAAAAAAAAAATAATAAAAAAAAAGAGTCTCAGGTCCAAAGATGCTTTTGAGGCAGAAAAGTGCCAAATGCTCAAAATTACCCAGGTTAATTATATGTTTCCTCCTAAAAAGAAGGGAAGAGGAAGCAGGCTGCCCCAGCTCTTGGAGAACCTCCTAAACAGCTCAGCTGAGAACCCCAAATAAGCTGTCTTATTCTTTTTTAAAAAATTAATATATTAAATATGCCACAAACTGTATATCACTGTACCACTGATTATTATTTATCATATTCTTTCCTCCTCAAAAACAGAATAGTGAAGTAAAAATGGCCCAAATTTTTTTTCAGTAATCTCATTATAATAATTACAAATACTAGCGTAATGCCTATAAAATACAAAGCCCCATTTTTTTAGTTGTTTTAACTAAGAATAGAAAAATAGAAAAGGCCCTTTTATTCTGAATAAACCAAAACAATTTCTCTGTGTTTTGTTTTGTGTGTTTTTGTTTTGTTTTGTTTTTTAAAGTTCAAGCATTGTGGGTCTCAGGGTACAATGAGATTAATAAGAGAACAGTTTTTCTTTTCAATACTATACCCAATAAAATCTTCTCTTTAGTCAGAAAAAATTTACCTGTACTTGCCCTACATTTGCCCAAACTATCCTTTCTATTTTAGACATCATGACCTCTCTTTTC